GAAACAAGGGTAGGCCAGGGGGAGGGGGAAATGGCTAGTCTGGGAAGGGGTACAGGCATGGGGAGTCCAGGGGGTTGAAGAAATGGCTATTCTGGGGAGGGTTACAGGCATGGGAAGTCCAGGGGAGAGGGTAAATGGCTAGTCTGGGGAGGGGTAGAAGCACAGAGTCCAGGGGAAGTCCAGGGGAGAGGGTAAATGGCTAGTCTGGGGAGGGGTAGAAGCACAGAGTCCAGGGGAAGTCCAGGGGAGGGTAAATGGCTAATCTGGGGAGGGGATGAGGCCCAAGGAGTCCAGGGGAAGGGTAAATGACTAGTCTGGGGAGGGGCAGAGGCACAAGGAGTCCAGGGGGAGGGTAAATGGCTAGTCCGGGGTTGGAGGGCACAGTCAAGTCCAAACCAACGAGACAGAATTGTATGGATGCTGGTTTCTATACTGCACACTTATATCAGTTACTTTTTTAAATTCCCACTAATGAGTTTTCCCGGACATTAGAATGCTGGATAACTGAGCTTCTACTGTACAAAATATACAATATCAAATGTGTTATAGTTAAGGTATTTACAAGGCATTCCCTAAAACAAGACTGATGACAAGATAAGAGGGAGAGAGTGGAAAGGTAGAGTTAAATGGATGAGGTGAACAGAGAGAGGAGGTAGAACAAGAGGAAGGAGCAACAGAGAGGGAGAAAGGATGGATGGATACAAAAAAAAAAAAGGGGGAGGGGCGAGGGAGAAACAAAGTGTGAATAGGAAGGGCAGAGAGAAAGAAGTACAAAGGGCGAGATGGACTGACTATGGAGAGGACAGAGGAAGAGTACAGGAGACCATGCGCCAATTTCTGAGGACACAAACTTACTCCTGCAGTGCAAGTGTGACACACCCGAGGAAGAGACCTAGAGAGAGACATTGATGGGTTATTACAGCACTCGGAAAGTCTTACTTATGTTTCTAGCCTATTTTGTCACATCATCAGTGTCCAACGTGCCTTTCTATAAACACCTTCATTCATAACGTTATGCATTAATGTAATTCATGTCTGCAGCCTTAACCGATAGCATAAATTACAGAAATATTTAGAACATACAGCCTAGTGATAGTGAACACATCAAAATACTCAATCTGCAAGCAACTTGCCATACACCAGATCGTATATTCCTCCAGTTTTTCATTATTCATTCATTCATATACTGTACTATATATATATACATATATATGCGAACAAACCTGAATGGTCCCCAGGACAATATACGTATATATATATGAATGTATGTATTAAAAATGTATTTATGAATGTATGTATTAAAATTGTGTTCAGTATTTTTATATATACGTATATATAAAAATACTGAACACAATTTTAATACATACATTCAAACAATACATTACTTAGGCACAGCGAGAGCGAGTTGAGGTAATGTTCACACACTTGTACCTGGTACTTGCAAACGCAGCAGCAATAAACATTATGCAGTGCTTCATCTTTTCTATATAATTAAATACTGGTACATATGATGACTAATGTATTAACAACACGTACAAAATTAACTTTAAAAGATGAAAGATGTCTTACATACAACTGTAATCTATTTTTCTCCAATTTCAATGAATCTAAATCCCTGAATTTCTGGATAACAAAATTTCTGTATCCTCCTTGTATGTGCAATTCTGAACCTTTGTTGAGTTCTCTAATGACAGCAAGGGTGTCTTCTAATGATTTACCTGAGGGCTACTAACCCTAGTGGCCTCGACAAGGACAGGAAGCTGGTGGCTTGTCTAAGGTTCCCCCATATGCCTTGATGATCGTTTCTATGTATATTTGAAAAATAAACACAGTTTTGGCAGTTACGGCTTTGGCTGGTAGGCAGTTCCATGAGTTAATAACCCTGTGGGGTGAAAAAGCATCTCCTGTTCTCAGTCCTACATTGTGGCTTGTTGAGCTTGACACTGTTGCTCCTGATTTGTGTTACATCTGACCTTCTGAAGAAAATATCCAGATCAACATCCTCTAACTTGTTCAGTATTTTAAAAGTTTCAATGAGATCTGCAATGCCCTGCTTGGTTTGCAATGTTGTTAGCCCTGTGGCCCTCAACTGTTCCTGATACAAGAGATGACTTAGCTCTGGAATGACTTTTGTTGCCCGATGTTTAACCTTCTCTAGAGCAGCTATGCCCTGAAAATGAGGTCTCCATGCTTGGATACAGTAATCCAAATGGGGCCGCATCAGAGATTTATACAGTTGAACCATTACCTCTTTTGACTTATAGTCAAAGGTACCTGGTTGATGGGGTTCTGGGAGTTGTTCTACTCCCCAAGCCCGGCCCGAGGCCAGACTTGACTTGTGAGAGTTTGGTCCACCAGGCTGTTGCTTGGAGCGGCCCGTAGGCCCACATACCCACCACAGCCCGGTTGGTCCGGCACATTTGATTATCCCAGATTATCCCAAGAGTTTGGCTAGCTTTTCTGACTGCTGCAACCACCTATTGTGCAACTTTTATTGAGTGATGGATTTTGACTCCAAGGTCCTTTTCTTCATCAGTCTGCTGTAATGTAATGCTATTAATTTGGTAGTAATGATATGGGTTGTTGTGCCCCACATGCAGCATCTTGCATATGTCGATATTAAAAAGCATTTGCCAGTCTTCTGACCACTTGTGGAGTTCATGTAGATCTCTCTGTAAGGCTTCAATGTCATTATCATTTCTCATTTTCATTCATGAGTGAAATTATCATTTCACCCATGACGACAAGGGTGTCCTCTAATGACGACAAGGGTGTCCTCTAATGACGACAAGGGTGTCCTCTAATGACGACAAGGGTGTCCTCTAATGACGACAAGGGTGTCCTCTAATGACGACAAGGGTGTCCTCTAATGACGACAAGGGTGTCCTCTAATGACGACAAGGGTGTCCTCTAATGACGACAAGGGTGTCCTCTAATGACGACAAGGGTGTCCTCTAATGACGACAAGGGTGTCCTCTAATGACGACAAGGGTGTCCTCTAATGACGACAAGGGTGTCCTCTAATGACGACAAGGGTGTCCTCTAATGACGACAAGGGTGTCCTCTAATGACGACAAGGGTGTCCTCTAATGACGACAAGGGTGTCCTCTAATGACGACAAGGGTGTCCTCTAATGACGACAAGGGTGTCCTCTAATGACGACAAGGGTGTCCTCTAATGACGACAAGGGTGTCCTCTAATGACGACAAGGGTGTCCTCTAATGACGACAAGGGTGTCCTCTAATGACGACAAGGGTGTCCTCTAATGACGACAAGGGTGTCCTCTAATGACGACAAGGGTGTCCTCTAATGACGACAAGGGTGTCCTCTAATGACGACAAGGGTGTCCTCTAATGACGACAAGGGTGTCCTCTAATGACGACAAGGGTGTCCTCTAATGACGACAAGGGTGTCCTCTAATGACGACAAGGGTGTCCTCTAATGACGACAAGGGTGTCCTCTAATGACGACAAGGGTGTCCTCTAATGACGACAAGGGTGTTCTGGGCAAGGCTGATGATTAATTACAAGATGACCAGGAGAGAAAGCATACAAAACCGAAACGGTGAAAAAGAATCGAGGTTGTTAAATAATAATTGTTTAACTATTATTATCTAATGTATATATAAATATTTTATTAAATAAAAAGGAGGAAGAAGGGGGTCGTGCATCCAACAGGCAGAGTGATGACGGCAACAGGAAGAACCAATGGTGCTCAAACATGCCAAATTGCAACTTGAGAAGTTGCAAGTAGCATAGTCCCACTCTGAGGTAAACAGAGCTTCTCAAGACAACTGATACTGGCTGCCTGGAGTGTTACAAAACAGGCAGGTGGTCCAGGGGTAAGGGAAGTGTGTTGGATCACACATACACTCAGCCTCAACCTGATTTTTCCTATCAAGGGAAGGCATATAAAGATACTGATAAGGAAGAATCATTTACACTTTGGTCAAGTGTGCCCTGGAGTTGTGTAAGGCACTAAGATACACAGTAAGCAAGGCAAGCACTATTTATGCACAAGCTTACACCTAAATACATAAGGCCTCAATGTGGAGAGCAAGTCCCATGCAATACCTGATAGTACGATGACTCAAGAGATACCGGTTAACAAGAGATAAATCTGAATGCCTCAGAGCAGGTATCTCGGGCACACAGCCGGGGCAAAATGGTACACAGGGAACATGCAATGTGTGGAGCAAAACATTATTGTGAAACGAATGGAACAAAAATGAAGCAATGTCCGTTGTTTTATTTTCCATTCTAGAAACACCACTTTATTAAAAGAAGAAACCAATTTTAAACCAGCTAACTGTGTGAGGTAGGTGGCTGGCCAGGACCCCCAGGTGACATGGGTTGCCATCTGGTGGTTGTTGACCGCATCAAAGTCAAATTTGTTTCCCTACAGCTCTCATCGTTTGCCTTGATTGCCTCAAATTCTATTTCTTTCTTCAAGCAGTAGCTTATTTTGTTTTGCCTGACCTTTCTTGTGAGCCTTTTTTTTTTTTGCTTTAGGATAGATTTTTGGTTTCTTAACTCTACAAGATAATTGTCAAGACATGCCTTGTAGAGTGTCAGATTCTGATCCTAACTCCCAATAATAGGCCAGCATAGGTTTTAGACGAGTGGTGCAATTCGTAAGATTTAGCTACAGCAGCATGCAAGCTTAACAAAGCTCCAAAGAGACCCTGCTAGAAGAGCTCTAAGCCTCTAATACAAAATGTTTTATGGTAGCAGTTCAAGCTGAGATAAATAAAGACATTCTCTGACATCAGGCATGTCACTTAGTGTAGTTACAGGATGAGAGCTATGCTCATGGTGCCCCATCTTCCCAATAATGTGTCACTTGAGAGACATTATGGTGTGGTCGTGCTTGTTTGTTACCACGAGGCTCACTTTTGTGGATAGGAAATTTATTTGTTCAAGATTTAAACAAATTAAAACTGCAGGAGTAAACAAAGAATAAGACTAGGACTATGGGTGGTGCCGACTACGCTAGCTTACCGAGTCATGAAGGGTGAAGATAGGATTAGGGTTATCATCCTGGTCATCAGAGGCATGCAGGTACATGGGATTGGTCATCTCCACAGTGCCACCATTCTCCTCTAAACGTACGTGACTGATGCCCTTTCCTCGTTGATGCTGCCATAGCCACGCAACTACCACCGCTACAACCAACACCACTATCTGTAAACGTTATTCACACATTATATACATAACTTATTTCTCTCTTTGTAAACATAATTTTAAAAAATTCATCCATCATATGTTGTTGATTCCCTGCATTATTTACAATAAAAAGAATTTTATATACATGTTATCTTCCTGAATTAAACAAAATTCTTAACAATACTAAATTTTTCTAAGGGGTGCCTGCATCCATTAATTTTATTGAACATAAGTTTCCCATAATACAACCTTCTCCAGTTCAAGATATTTACATGTTCTCCCAAGAGAACAATATGCTTAAAAACTAGGAGAAAACTTGAAACCTCAGCATGGTGCTACATGAAGAAGCAAAGTTCAGAAAGGTTCGGGTTCAGTCAAGAGGCACTGTTTGGTGCCAAAGAAACATCAGTTTGATGGGTAGGTGAGCAGTCATAGCAATGGCTACTTGTGCTAGTTTTTGAATGAATCATTTTTTAAGTAGTTTGGTTGTTTTGGTGCTTTATTTCCTGTGAACTTTGCAGCTCTCTGTATTGCTTCATTTTTTTTCTGAATGTTTTCCCGGCCCCGTTTATGAGGGGAGGCCAAGTTGTGGCAGTGGTCATACAGGAGTCCTGTAGGTCACACAGGACTCTTATGGCTGATGTGATGGTAGGGGAGACGTCACCTCAAAGAGACAGCTTCAGGGAGACCATGAGGCTCCCTCTGAGACTGCCTAGCATATGATTTTTTTTTTTTTTTACATATTTTTATGTCCAACAGTGAACACATTTTGTTTTTTGTATAACCATAAACTTCAGGAGAAATACTGTTTGTGAAATACAGTGTTATAGAAAACAAAATCACAGGTCACAGATCAAATGTAGTTGCTAACAGAGCAAATCAAAATCCTTATAATTCTAAACTACAAATAAAGGTGAAAGCACAAAGACAAAAACTAGCAAGACATAACTTACAGCAACAAAGACACCTATAACAACTGTAGCCATGTTGGGCACCGACTCGGCCACACTGCCTGCGGTCACGTCCCCTTCGGTCTCGCATCGCAAACCCGTGTATCCTTCAGGACAGCTGTAAATATGTAAACTGTTAAGTACAGTACCGTCATATGCAAGCTGATATAGAGTTTCTTCTAAGGTTTACCCAAGGGTGACCCTCTTTAGCGACCTTGATGGGGATAAAACACCGACGGCTTGTCGAAAGTCACCCTATTATTAATGAGGCTTTATTTCCAGCTAAATTTTATGCTGAAATATTGTCTTGGCATTTACAGCTTAGAAGGATATGAAAATTGTCAAGGTATGGCATATTACTTACAAGAATAGCATTAAATAAGAGACTATGAAGGGTGGAAGACACAATGAAAGAGAAGTATACCTTCAAATTTATTTAGTAGTAGTTTGTTGCCTTGCGATCCTCCCCTTTTAAGGCTAGCCCAGTAGGGCAGTTACTAGAGCGACATGCCGGAGATCGAGTGTTCGAGGCTCCCAATGCCCAAGTTGAATAAAATCAATATAAATATATTCGTGGCAGTTCCTGCTCTACATCTGGTTTGTGCAGCCTCCTTAAGGTGTCTGCTGCACGAATGCTCGTGATTCGGTGCCATTATTGCGAGATTCACCTCTCCATCTCAGCCAAGGTAAACCATCGTACAAAACTCTTTTTCCCAAGATCAAGGTACACATTTAACAATATTAACACTTTCGGCTGTCAGCGACAGATATTGCATACATAAATAACTCTACAAATGTCCGGCAAGGATGCATTTTGCATTTAAATTAAAATATTTGTTAAAATTCCATTTCTTTTCCCATCATTAGGAGACTAGTTTTACAATGCGCACCTTTAGATTGTGAATAATTTGATACCAAAATGAAATACATAGCATGAAAATTGAGGTGAGAAAAATGAGTATACTCATTTTAGTGTGGATGTGAGGATGGGTGCGTGCTCACGGATAACACTCGGCGGATTTTCTGGCTTGCTGTGGGGAACGCGTCTGTTTGTTTTACCCTATATGCATATATCCCTTTAGAGAATTCTATTACAAATAATTTGATACCAAAATGAACAATGTAGCAGGAAAATTGACGTGAGAGAACTGAAAAGAACACACATTTTAGTGTGGGTGTTGTGGGTGTGCGGATGGGTGCTCACTCACAGGCAACACTCGGCCAATTTTCAGGTTTGCTGCGGGTGGCAAGCCAGGCTTTTTGACCTTATATGCATATGTTCCTTTAGGGAATTCTATTATAAACAATTTTATATAAAAATGAATGATATAACACGAAAATTAACGTGAGAAAACTGAAAAAAAAGAGTGTGCACATTTTAGTGCAGGTGCGCGCTCACGGGAGATTTATATTGTCAGGTAAATCTTGCGTACCAACTGGTTGTCATGTAAATCTTGCGTACCAGCTGTTTGCCATGTAAATCTTGCGTACCAGCTGTTTGTCATGTAAATCTTGCGTACCAGCTGGCTGTCATGTAAATCTTGCGTACCAGCTGGCTGTCATGTAAATCTTGCGTACCAGCTGGCTGTCATGTAAATCTTGCGTACCAGCTGGCTGTCATGTAAATCTTGCGTACCAGCTGGCTGTCATGTAAATCTTGCGTACCAGCTGGCTGTCATGTAAATCTTGCGTACCAGCTGGCTGTCATGTAAATCTTGCGTACCAGCTGGCTGTCATGTAAATCTTGCGTACCAGCTGGCTGTCATGTAAATCTTGCGTACCAGCTGGTTGTCATGTAAATTTAAGCATCAGGTGGTTGTCATATAAATCAAGTGCATAGTGCATGGGTTAAAGTGGCACCTGGCCACAAAAAGACTGGTCATTAACCCAGATTGACAAGTGATAACATTAACCCCATAACTGTTATAACAGTTATGGGGTTAATAACCCCATAACATTAACCTGATAACTGTTATTACTTAGTCATTAACCCCAAGTGATAACAGTTATCAGCAGCAACATTATAGCAAGGAGTTACTCATCTCATATTTAGAGTAATTCAAGTGTCCCAGACACACACACACACACACACACACTAAACTCCAAGATTACTCCGCTAAATTATAGTTGACCTGAGTGGTCATTACCACCCCTCCCCAACTCCTAATTGCACTCAGATATCGGTAGCTACACTGCCAACAGTAGCACGAACCCTGGACAGCAGCAGTAAATAGATTTAACGCACTCACCTGCAGATAGGTTGGAGGGAAGGGTCAGGATTAGTGGTGCAGATACCACCATTGAAGCACCAGCTCTCTTTACACACTTTCGGTAGTCCACAGTTTTCACCTGTCCACTCGTGATTACAGATGCAGACAGGCATTCCAAACTGTACCTGCAAGTTGGCAAATACTTTGTAATGTACGTCAAAGATGTTTGATCATGTTGAATACAAAAGTGATGATGAACTGGTCAATAGTGTATTCAAGTGAATTTATGAAGGAAAGGAAGGCCAAGAAGATGATCGGACATGCCAAGTGTGTGAGGAAGTGTGGACAAGTCACAGCTAACAGGTTCAAATTTTCTCCTTAATAAAGATTTTCCCTCTTCTCTGTAATCACAGACTTTATTCACCTAGGCTCGACATTTTAATTACCGTTCAACAGCTCTTGCCATCTCTTTATCTCGCCTGATAGCTTCTCTCAGTATTTTGTCAGCCTGATGAACCCCTCCTCACCTGCTTGGTATTCTTAACTAAATATTCCTTGTAAATATTCCCACATGTCAGTGAGGTTCATATGTTTGTGGTTCTCTTGCCCTCACTTTCCTATCAACTCTACTCTTAATGTCATCAATCAACTCGATACATCTTGTTCATCACTCTACACGACTTTAGTTCATCCAACAACTCCACTCACCTTTATTCATCCAACAACTCCACTCACCTTTATTCATCCAACAACTCCACTCACCTTTATTCATCCAACAACTCCACTCACCTTTATTCATCCAACAACTCCACTCACCTTTATTCATCCAACAACTCCACTCCCCCTTTATTCATCCAACAACTCCACTCCCCTTTATTCATCCAACAACTCCACTCCCCTTTATTCATCCAACAACTCCACTCCCCTTTATTCATCCAACAACTCCACTCCCCTTTATTCATCCAACAACTCCACTCCCCTTTATTCATCCAACAACTCCACTCACCTTTATTCATCTATAAACTCCACTCTTCTTTATTCATCAATAAATTCTTTCTCCCCCCAACTTCTTAACTTTCATTCATGAATTATTTAGATGTTGAATAATGCAGTTTCCAAATAATATTTCTTCATATCTTTCACATTTGTCTTTTCTCTACATAACCCAGAGTGTACACCAACAAAATTTATACACAGTATGTAATACCAATAATATACAGCACTTTCAGGTCTTATGCAATTTCTTGTAATCTAGAATCTAGACAATACTGGTGTTTGAACAATATTATACTGGCGTTAATAATTTGTCAAGAGCAAATAGAGGAGAGAAAAGATCATTACCTGACATACACCACCGTGAAGGCAGGTTAGGCTGAGACACGGATCAATGCCGTCTTTGTTGTACGTCTGACACCAGGTGCCCATGTATCCTTTGGCACAGCTGCATATCTGTTTGTCGTCGATAATGACGCAAGTTGCACCATTTTCACAGGGGTTCGGGAGACACAACTTTGAGCCAGGGATGGGTTCATTACACTGTGGACCAGTGTAGCCTTCCTCACAGTCGCACACAACACCATCATTAGTAACGCGGCATGTACCCTAATGGCAAGAATAATTGAGTTTGATTTATTTATTTATATATACAGGAAGGTACATTAGGTTTGTAAGAGTACACAGCATTGATGTTTTTACATCCTTTTAAGTCACTAACACGTATAGCCATTCGGGCAGATCCCTAATCTAACATACAATTTTAAGTAGGTAATTTGTAGCAAAATTTGAAGAAAATTAACAAGTACATTGCAAGAAAATGTGAAGAAAATTAATAGGTAAATTGCAGTAAAATTTGAGGATTATCAAATGTGTTGTAGTAATATATCACACAATTTTATAATTGCATTACATACTGGCTAAGACTGCAGTGTTAATAATTGCAAATATATATACCCCTCAGTAACTGTTCCTTACCTCACTAAGATATTACTGTATAATATAAAATAACAAGAATTTAATGAGAAGGAGACAACACTACTCACAAACTGGTTTAGTAGGATTAACATTTTCTACATCAATAATATGACAAATCACATACAATCAAATTCCAGTTCCATGTGAGGACGTGTCCTCATAAGTGTTGCATTAATTAAGGAAATTTGCAGTATAGTAAAAATTTTGTTGGAAAAATAAGATGCATTCTAAACGGAATATATTTGGACTTGAAACAACTTTCAATATTACCGTATTTTTCCTGCAGTTAGGAAACCTGATTTTTGTCCATCACCATCAGAATATTGTACTGCATTTACATACATAAAATCATATGTTTTACATGACACTTCCTGGTTCAGCACACTACTCCATTTCTCAAGAGTCATAATGCACATTGCCTACTCTTCCCATGCTGGATGACCTCTATAACCATGGTTGGTCAGCGGGCACCAAGCCACTCTTAGATGCTTTACCTGGACCTCAACAACATATATTGGCCCATCTCTATTCATACAAGATTTAGGGACTGGTTGGGTTTTGGGTTAGTCACCATATTTAAACTAATATGAAATTGATTAATGTGATTGTAACAATCACATTAATATATTGTGCAATATTAATGATAAAATAGTAAAAATATCAAGACAGTTGGTACAAATGACTCCCGTTCCTGAGCAAACATGTGCACAAACATGCGTTAAACAATGTAATCCGATTAGTTTTCACAATTTACTGCATTTAGATGAAGCCCACAAGAAATTTCCTCGCACACAACTGGGAGTCCAATGAAAAAATCCCGTAACACATCTAATACACACAAAATACAAAACAGGTATCAACTTACGCGATGGCAAAAGTGGTCACAATCGTTCTTCTGGCATCTGTCGCCACTGTAGCCGAGCGGACACCTGCATTCTGGTTCTTTTCCAGCCAGCTGACATTCTCCCTGTTACATCAATCATGCAAACAACAAACCCTTCAACTAAACGCCATAATACATGAAAGACACACTAAACGATGCACTAAACTACAAGGATATAACATTAATTTATACAAATCAATTATTTTACAACTATAAATTTTAAATGTTTCATATACAGTCAATGCAAAACTGAATTTTGTAACGAGCTTGGAAAGTCATGTAACATAAGAATCATTTCATATCATCAGTACTGGCCAGACCAAAAACTACCCAGTAAATACAGTACCCAAGCTTCATAATACATGGGAACCAGAGAATTGTTGGAATTCCAAAATGCACTGTACTTTCTTCATGTGTATTTCAATACACACGCACTTTTATATTGCAAAGACAGTATGCTTGTCTATCACTGCAGGTAAACTAATGTCCTTACAATGTACAAATTGGTACTTGACATATACATACTTTAAAAACAGCTCTCATTCAATAACCAAAGAGTCATCTCCTACTTGTCCTAGCCATGAGCTGCCGCCCACTAGACGCTGCTGCGCGTTAGACAGCCCGTTCCCTTGATTTGCCACTTCATAAAACCAGCGTTGAATGTAATGAAACGCCATTTTCTGGGTGAGACCCGTAGGCTCCCCGAAGCTATCCAGGCTGATATGTATTTCATTAGACTTTGGCATCAGTGTGAATGGAGTTCTAGGCCTATAGAAATGCACATGGGATTTGGAGCATTCTATGTCTGCCATCGACCAAACCAGGCACTGAAAGTGCCTGGTTGGCACAACAAGCCACCGCTCATGGCTTGTTGGCTTCGGTCTTGCTTTTCTTTTCCCTTCGGGAGCTGTCTTCAGATTGGCTTGCGGAGGACATAGAGGCACTTTGGGCCATTCCCAGGTCTGGTGTCTTGGTCTCGGCTGCTCAAGCTGTTTGCACCGATCTTGCAGGATGTGGTGTCGCGGTTTTTCGCTACGCGTCTCGCGTGTTGGCACAACCTGCCAACACGCGAGAGCTCATCCTGGCTCCTTGCGTGTTCACATGCCTCATCCGGGTCGTGGTGGCCAATCTGTGTCTTTTAGGTGTTCGGGTGTTGTCCTGCCTCGACGACTGGATGGTCTGGGCTCCCAGTTGGTCTGCATGTCTGCTCGTCAGGGATTTGGTTCTTTCCCAGCTCGCCAGGTTTGGGTTCTTGGTGATTTGGTGGAAGTCCCACCTGGTTCCCTCTCAGGTTCGGTCTTAGTTAGGTCTTGTGTGGGACACTCGACCTGCTTCCTTGTCTCTTCCTCCAGCGGCTCTGCTTTGTCTGCATTCCTGCTATTGTCTGTCCGGGGTCCTTGCGTCGGTTGCTGCGTCGCCGGCTTCCTCTTCGGGTTTTTCAGGGTTCAGTGCCTCGGCGCCTACCCGAGCCCTCGCTCGATGTGTTCACGGACGTGTCGTCTCTTAGCTGGGGCTTTGTGACCAGTGCTAACCAGGCTAGCCAGGGGTGGTGCGTTCCGTCTCTCCATCGGGCTCACAGCATGGTGTAGGAGTTCGCGGCTGTGTGGATGTCGCTCCGGAGGATGCGGGGTCTCTCACGGATCAATGGGCTGGCTCCATTCAGATTGTTCCCTGGTGGTTCATTGCCTGAACCGTGGAGGTTCAATGCAATCCTTGGCTCTTTGGAGTTGGTCACTTCGGGTGACTCGTCTGCCGAGTTCTTGGGGTTTGGGTTTCCTGCTTGATGGGGTTGAGTTTTTCTACTCCCCAAGCCCGGCCTGAGGCCAGGCTTGACTTGTGAGAGTTTGGTCGACCAGGCTGTTGCTTGGAGCGCCCCACAGGCCCACATACCCACCAGGGGTCTCCTGGCGGTTCACGTTCGGAGGGAGTGTCCAATGTCCTGATGGACGGCCTGTCCCGGTTTATTCCCCTGTCCATGGAATGGACGATCGACGCCGACTCATTCTGTTGACTCTGCTGGATGTTCAGACCTCCAGAAGTGGGTCTCTTTGCGTTGGCATAGTCGAGGCATCTCCCGGAATAAGTGGCATCCTTCCCCGACTGCAAGGCAGTCTGGGTCGATGCCTTCAGGCGGGACTGGGTGAAGCAGGGTTACTTGTACCTCTTCCCCCTGGTTCAGCTGTTGCTCCAATTCCTGGCTTGCTTGGAGACTTACCAGGGGAGAGTAGCCCTCTTGGCACCTTGGTGGCCAGCCCAGCCTTGGTTTCAGTCACTGCTTGCTCGGTGTCTGAACCTGAGGGTCTTCCCGCAGCTCCGCCTCTTTCAGGAGATCGGTCCTGCCCGTTACGAGGCTGGTTCGATCTTCTCCTTGAGTCTTTGCGTCTGGTCTTTCTGACTTAAGTCTATCACCATTTGTATGGGGCGCAGGTGGCTTCATTGTTGTCTCTCATATGCGTGCTTCATCTTGTGGCAATATAAGGTTTCCCGGCAGTCATTCCAGTTTTCCTATCACTGTGTAGGTGTACTTCGGTCTCTGATAGGGTTGTTTTGTCCTTCCTGTTGAGGTTGTTTCTGGACTGTCACCTTATGCCGAATACTGTTGCTTCCTATTGTACGGTGCTGACAGAGACGCTCCAGCCTGCATTCGGTATTGAGGTTATGTCTGCTCCGTTTTGCAAGTTGTCTCGTGCGTTGTTTCACCTCCAGCCTGCTCATGCCTGAGCAGCCTGAGCCCTTCTGGTCCTTAGACCGGGTGCTCTCTTTCCTCTCTTCTCCTCGGCTTGTGGTGGCCCCTTTGGTTCAGGATTGTTTTTCCAAGGCTCTTTTCCTGTTGGAATTGGCCTCTGGGGGTCGGGTCGGGGAGCTTCATGCTCTCCTCCAGCAAAGGGGGGTTCCTGCTCTTTTGGTCCTGGTGGCAGGTTTGTTTGGTTGCAGCCGTCTTCTCCTTTTCTGGCGAAGAATGAGACTGCTGTTTTCCAGAGGGGTCCTTGGGTTGTTGATGCTTGGTTGGTCAGGCCAGGGGATATCTTGAGGTTATCTTGAGATGATTTTGGGGCTTTTTAGTGTCCTCGCGGCCCGGTCCTCGACCAGGCCTCCCACCCCCAGGAAGCAGCCTGTGACAGCTGACTAACTCCCAGGTACCTATTTACTGCTGGGTAACAGGGGCATTTAGGGTGAAAGAAACTTTGCCCATTTGTTTCTGCCTCGCGCGGGAATAGAACCCGCGCCACAGAATTACGAGTCCTGCGCGCTATCCACCAGGCTACGAGGCCCCTACACCGAGGGGGTGCACCATGTCTTGTGTCCGGTTGCAGCTCTCCGCCGTTATTTGCGCGCCACGGCTTCGGTGGCTGGGATTGCACTGTGGGTTGATCCTGTTTCCCTTCTTCCCTATTCCCGAGCTTGGGTCTCCCAGGTTGTCCGCAGGATTGTTAAGGCTAGCCAGCCTGTGGTCTATTCTCGTGCGCACGACATGCGTAAGTTTGCGGCTTTGGCTGCCATCTTTGGCAACATGTCTTGAGTTGACATTCGGGCACAGGGGTTTTGGAGGTCAAACTGGGTCCTAGCCGCTCGCTACCTTGTCAATGTCCCTGGACCTCATAGGGCCTGCGTTGTATTGGGTTGGCAGTTGCAGCCAGTTGTCTCAGCTTTGCGTTGAGGAGTGAGGACTGACCATCACCCGGGTAAGTCCCTGTTTTTCCTTGTCTTTGGGTAGTTAGCTCTGGGGAGCCGACGGAGCTCCCCCAGAAAACCAGCGTTTAATGTAATTAATGAAACGCCATATTCTGGGCGAGTCCCGGAGGCTCCGTGGCATCCCTCCCTCCAGTCGGCGGCGTTTTCATGTATTTTGACATCCAGTCTAAGAACTTAAGGGTGGATCGCCAGGGGTGAGGGTCTGGGGCTCCCCCTTCCCTCTCCCGGGTAGAGAGGGGGATATTACGCAGACAGCAGCGCTGCGACATGATGTCATGCTCATTTGCTATTATTTGTTTGGGGAGTTCTGTCCACTCGTTTGGCTTTCAGTAGCAATAGTTTCACCAGAACGGGGGTTTGTTTTGGGGCGCCTACCTTTCTGGGTGTCAGATCCGGTAGATGACAGACATAGAATGCTTCCAACCACATGGGAGTTTCTATAGACCATTGCTCCTCATGCCTCTCTTTGAGGGGGCCAAGTTCTGGCCCATAGTCATGGCATTACATTATATATACCGTGTGTATATTATAATATAATATATATATATATATATATATATATATATATATATTATATTATATATATATATATATATATATATATATATATATATATATATATATATATATATATACACATACATACATACATACATACATACACTGATTTTCTCATACATATACTTTCCAAGCTCTTTTTACAATCTAATAAAATCATGCAATACTTAACAAAAAATTTTGAAGTAGAAATTATATGACTCCAAGTACTAAACACACATTCTCCATACACTATGAATAATAACACATTGAAATTATATCAAGCCATTTTAAAAGTACCATGATTAAGTAATGTTCAAGATAAAATAAATGAATGCCACATGTGGAATACAATCAAATGACTTACCTTCAGACAATAGTTTTCACACACAGAATGGTCACAATTGGGTCCATGGTAACCAATAGGACACCCACAGTTAGCACCTGTTTGCCACAAAAAAAAATAACATCACTTTTCTATGAAATGACAACAAATAGAATGGCATACTTTTTGGTATAAGAGCCTATCATTCACATTCACTTAGCTCATCAAAGATTCAATCTCAGGACCTGACAGTACAACACTTGCCCTACCAGCCAGGCCAAGGATGCTCACAATAATTTAAAAACTAATTGGCACCCAACTGAGATCCTCCCTTATTGTGAGCATCCATGATCAACTGGTTGGTAGGACGACAATCTTGCACGTCTGAGATCTTACCTTATCCAGAGTATCCATGGCATTGTCGGTAGGCAATGGTTGACGGTTGAGAAGCGGGACCAAAGAGCTAAAGCTCAACCCCCGCAAGCACAACTAGGTGAGTACACACACACACACACGACAAGTGTAATAGTGAAAGTATTGGAAAAGCTAATCAAAACTAAATGGGTAGAACACCTGGAGAGAAATGATATAATATCAGACAGACAGTATGGTTTTCGATCTGGAAGATCCTGTGTATCGAATTTACTCAGTTTCTATGATCGAGCCACAGAGATATTACAGGAAAGAGATGGTTGGGTTGACTGCATCTATCTGGACCTAAAAAAAGCTTTCGACAGAGTTCCACATAAGAGGTTGTTCTGGAAACTGGAAAATATTGGAGGGGTGACAGGTAAGCTTCTATCATGCATGAAAAATTTTCTGACTGATAGAAAAATGAGGGCAGTAATCAGAGGCAATGTATCGGAATGGAGAAATGTCACAAGTGGAGTACCACAGGGTTCAGTTCTTGCACCAGTGATGTTTATTCTGTACATAAATGATCTACCAGTTGGTATACAGAATTATATGAACATGTTTGCTGATGATGCTAAGATAATAAGAAGGATAAGAAATTTAGATGATTGTCATGCCCTTCAAGAAGACCTGGACAAAATAAGTATATGGAGCACCACCTGGCAAATGGAATTTAATGTTAATAAATGTCATGTTATGGAATGTGGAATAGGAGAACATAGACCCCATACAACCTATATATTATGTGAGAAATCTTTAAAGAATTCTGATAAAGAAAGAGATCTAGGGGTGGTTCTAGATAGAAAACTATCACCTGAGGACCACATAAAGAATATTGTGCAAGGAGCCTATGCGATGCTTTCTAACTTCAGAATTGCATTTAAATACATGGATGGCGATATACTAAAGAAATTGTTCATGACTTTTGTTAGGCCAAAGCTAGAATATGCAGTGGTTGTGTGGTGCCCATATCTTAAGAAGCACATCAACAAACTGGAAAAGGTGCAAAGACACGCTACTAAGTGGCTCCCAGAACTGAAGGGCAAGAGCTACGAGGAGAGGTTAGAGGCATTAAATATGCCAAAACTAGAAGACAGAAGAAAAAGAGGTGATATGATCACTACATACAAAATAGTAACAGGAATTGATATAATCGATAGGGAAGATTTCCTGAGACTTGGAACTTTAAGAACAAGAGGTCATAGATTTAAACTAGCTAAACACAGATGCCGAAGAAATATAAGAAAATTCACTTTCGCAAACAGAGTGGTAGACGGTTGGAACAAGTTAAGTGAGAAGGTGGTGGAGGCCAAGACCGTCAGTAGTTTCAAAGCGTTATATGACAAAGAGTGCTGGGAAGACGGGACACCACGAGCGTAGCTCTCATCCTGTAACTACACTTAGGTAATTACACTTAGGTAATTACACACACACACAATTATCATCAGTTTCCTGGACACCATATCATGAATATTAAAAACTGTCCACAAGTTTATTTTCTAAATGAACATGGTTACATTTCATTAGGCGTAGATGCACGAAACTGGTGCTGTGAATGTCTGCCTCGCGCTGTCGACACCATAACCAGCATTGTGTTTACCGATATCTGAATCTTGTACATCGTCTTTATCAAAGTTAGAATCTTCTATGATACTATCATTGCCAAATAATAACAATTATTTATTTCTTCATAATTAAGTGGTGTTGGTACAAACTGCACAGCAGTGTTGTGAGCTGCTGCAGCATGCACTACCCACAGTTGAGTTGAGAGGCAGGGCCAAGAGCCAAAGCTCAACCCCCACAAGTACAACTTGATGAGTACAACTAGGTGAATACAGTTGCCCTCTCACTACTACTAAAGCCTTCACACCCAGGATCAATGCCCACAATTTTTACCCAAGATTGTGTCTGATTACTAGAGCCCCAGAGAAGCGAGTGTGAACCACGTGTATGTGCAGGACTTTTAAATCTTATGAGGTACTTTAAATCGTCCCTGTATGACATGTGCTGTGTAGTGAGATACAGTGCAATCATCCCTGTATGACTTGTTCAGCTAAGGAGTTAATGATGTGTATTGTCATGTTGCAATTGCTGTGATGTGGCATCACATACAAGAGCTATCACATGATGTCACAGAAAAGTTGCCATGTGACATCACATGCAAGCGCTTAATATTAAATGTGTATCTAAGAATTATGTAGACAAATATTAAGCACAGTTTTACCTCCATCCTGACAGTTGGGAACATTACATCGGGGGCCTGACCAGCCTCTATCGCACTCGCATGTTGGGAAACCCCGACGTACTTTACAAAATCCCTGAAAGGCACGAAAGTCAATTAGACCTCTAATATTACAGACATGGTATGAATAATAATTATATATTTTTGTTAGTAAAACCCCAGAAATAATTGTAGTACAGTATTAGTAAGTAATAAAGAAATCACAAGACATTTATGCTAATAAATACTCATAACAATTTACTTATAAATCAGTGCTATTTATCATATTTATTATACTGTAGTAAGTTATTGCCAGTTAATGGAATCAACTTCATTAAAAGTCTAATATATATGATTGTGGCAATACATCACTGTACTGATGTTTATGCAATCTTTTGATAATTGAGAGAAGGGTATGTGTGTAAGAGGTCAGAACTTACATTGTTGCAAAACTTGTTGCAGATAGATACTTGACAGTGTTTGCCATGGTATCCCGGAGCGCAGGAGCACTGAGCCTGGCGAGGTGGGCCGGGGAAAATGGTACACTTGCCTTCGTTCTCGCACACTAAGTCAGCACACGGGTCCTCGCAAGCTGCTTCTGTTACAATATACAAGCTGTGTTACAAGCAGTACAGTATGAAATTGAAACAATGAAATACAAAAATGTTACATATTGATGAAAAAACATTGAAGCAGTACGAAGAGAACAGGGAAGAGGGTTCCATCCCAACGTACAGCTTCAAAGTTTTTCTCGCTACAGTCTGAAAGTCAACAAATTTAACAAATTTCCTCTGCAGCTCCAAACTTAACTATTAAATATTGGTATAGTATTAACTTTATAAATTCTTAACTACATACAAGAAAAGATTTACATACTATTAATGATGGAGGATGTTTTAATGAGTTTACTTACTATCAATGATGGATGTATGTTTTAATGAGTTTACTTACTATCAATGATGGATGTATGTTTTAATGAGTTTAATTACTATCAATGATGGATGTATGTTTCAATGAGTTTATTTACTATCAATGATGGATGTATGTTTCAATGAGTTTATTTACTATCAATGATGGATGGATGTTTCAATGAGTTTAATTACTATCAATGATGGATGTATGTTTTAATGAGTTTATTTACTATCAATGATGGATGGATGTTTCAATGAGTTTAATTACTATCAATGATGGATGTATGTTTTAATGAGTTTACTTACTATCAATGATGGATGTATGTTTTAATGAGTTTACTTACTATCAGTGCAGTTATCACAGATTCTTCCCGACCAGCCATTATGACACGTACATTGAGGTCTGTCGTGCATTATGCTGCAAGACCCCTGCAAAGAACACTATGTAAGAAATCAAACATTTTATAAAACCAACGTTGAATGTAATGAAACAATTTTCTGGGTGAGCCCCAAAGGCTCCCGGAGTTTACTGGGCTGATATGCAAGTATTAGACTGTGGCAACAGTCCTTCGAATGGAGTTCTAATGCCTGCCAGGGACCACCAGCCAGAATCTGCCCCCCCCTCATAGAGGCACAAGGAGCAATGGTCTATAGACACCCCCTGTGTAGTTGGAAGCAGTCTATATCTGCCATCTACCAGGTCAGGCACCCAGAAAGGTAAGAATCCCAAAACAAACTGCAGCTGGTGAAAAATTGTTAACCGAAAGCCGAGCGAGTAAACAGAACTCCCCAATCGGTAAACAAGCATGACGTCACCACAGCTGGTGTCTGTGCAACTCCCCCTTCCCTGGCATGGAGGAGGAGGGGGGGAGGGGGGGAGTCCCAGACCTTCCGTGCCGGCTGCCCAACCCCAGTTCAGAGGCCGAATATCAAAAACGAAAAAAAAAAAAACGCCGACCGGAGGAAGGGAGGGATGCCAGGACCCTCTGGGTCTCACCCAGAAAATGGAGTTTCATTACATTCAATGCTAGTTTTCTGTGAAGAGCTCATTTTGCTTCCCGAAGACACTTAACCAAAGATAAAGGAAAAAGAGGAACTTACGCAGGAGGCAGCCGCCACTTGCTCCTCAACTGGCTGCAACCTGCGACCCAAGGCTACACACCGCCGAGAAGGGCCAGGAACATTAACGAGGTACCGTGCAGCCAGGACCCTGTTCGACCTCAAAAAGCCCTGTGCCTAAATGTCAGCCCAGAACATATTACCAAAACAGCGACCAAAGCCGCGAACTTATGAACGTCGTGTGCACAGGGATAGACCACAGGCTGGCTGAACCAAATAATCCTGTGGACGACCTGCGAGACCTATGCCCTGGAACAGGGAAGAAGGGGAACCGGATCAACCCAAAGCGCATCCCCTGCCACGTAGACCATGGAGCACAAGTAACAGCAAGAGCTGCAACCAGACACAAGATGATGCAATCCTGGCTGAATAAACCAAGCATCAACAACCCAAAGACCCCTCTAGAAAGCAGCAGTCTTATTCTTCACCAGAAAAGAAGGAGACAGCTGCAAACGAGCAAACTGACCACCAGGACCGAAAGAGCAGAAACCCCTGCACCGGAAGCGAGCATGAAGCGCCCCTGACCCAACCCCCAGAAGCAAATTGTTAGTACTCTAATTTTACGACGGTTGAGGATAGCCAATCACAATCAAATAAGCCTCTGATGTCATTCTCTACAGAGAGCTTGTACCAGCCATTCTGGTGACCAGTCAGTACCTCACAGACCTCAGTAGGTAGGACCTTGGTGGGCCAGATATATACCTTGTTATCTTACACAATAAACTACTGAAGTGATCATCTGTGTATTCCCTACAACCCAGCAAGAACCATACATATCCAAGAAGGTAACCAATACAATGCAACAAGAAAAGAGCCTTAGAAAAGCAGTGCTGAACCGAAGGGGCCACCACAAACCAAAGAGGAGAGAGAAAAGACAGCACCCGGTCTAAAGACTAGGATGACTCAGGCGGTGCATGAGCAGGCCGGAGGTGAAACAACACCCGAGAAAGCTTGCGGAACAGAGCAGAAGTGACATCCACCCCCGAACGCTAGCAGAAGCGGCTTTGCCAGCGCCGCATGATACGAGGTGACAGTATTCGGCATAAGATGATGGTCCTAAAACAACCAAGAGAGAAAGGACAAAACAACCCGATCAGAAATCAAAGACAACCTACAAAGAGACAAAAATTGCCGAAAGGAAAGCCAGGAAACTTCATACTGCCATCGAGATGAAACTCGCAGGTGGGACACCATCAAAGAAGCCATCTGATCACCATACAAGCGGTGATAAATCTGCGTAAAAAAAAAAACAGACACGAAGAGCAGAGGAGAAGATGGAACCAGCCACGTACCGGACTGGACAGACGTGCTGAAAGAGGCAGTGCCACGGGAAGACCCTTGGGTTCAGACACCAAGCAAGCAGAGCCTGAAACCAAAGCTGGGCCGGCCATCACCAAGGCGCCAACAGGACTACACTCCCCTGGTAAATCTCCAAGCGAGCCAGGACTTGGAGCAACAACCGAACCGGTGGGAAGAGGTACAGATAACCCCACTTCGATCAGTTCACCCGAAAGGCATCGATCGCGACGGCCTCGCAGTTGGGGAAGAGTGCCACATATACTGGAAAATGCCTCGACCAAGCTGATGCGAAGAGGTCCATGTCCAGGCACCCGAATGTCTGGCAGAGTCAATGGAACGAGTCAGCGTTGACCATCCATTTTGTGGAAGGAGAATGAAACGGGACAGGCCGTCCGCCAATATGTTGCACACTCCCTGGACATGAACCACCAGGAGAGTCAAACCCCAAGAACTCAACAGATGAGTCACCCGAAGTGACCAGCCACCAAAAAGCCAGCCCCCATCGAACCTCCGGAGTTCAGACAATGAACCTCATGGGAGCAGTCCGAATGGAGCTGGATTATTGATCCGCGAGCGACATGAACCCCTCTGAAGCGAATACCACACCACCACGAACACCCACACCATGCTGTGAACCTGATGGAAAGACAAACCCCACCATCCCTGGCCGGACTGGTCAGCACCGAGTCACAAAACCCCAGCCGAGAGACGAGGCATCTGTGAACACACCGAGTGAGTGCTCGGGAAAGTGCCATGGCACAGAACCCCGAAAAACCCGAAGAGGACGGCAGTGACACAGCAGCCGACCGAACCCAGCGATCGCGAGAGGCAGAAAGGATGTCCCAGAAAGAATCAGAACAGCTGCCGAAGCCAGATATGACCCGACGGGTAGACCAGCACAGCAGAGTTCAGACTCCTGCACAGCTGCTTGAACAACCGACGCATGACCCGAGTGCCCTCCTAAAACAGTTGAAGGCAAGATCGCAGCCACAGCAACGATACAGGAGGAAGAGACATGGAAGCGGTCCAATAGTCCCACACAAGCCCCAGCCAAGTCCGAACCTGAGAGGGAACCAAATGGGACTTCCTGCAGTTCACCAAGAACCCAAACCCAGCTAGCTGAGAAAAAACAAAATCCCTGGTGAGCAGACATGGGAGCCTGGCTGGGAGCCCAGACCAGCCAGTCGTCAAGGTAAGCCAGAACCCGAACTCCTAACAGACGCAAACGGGTCACCACGACCCGGGTAAGGCGTGTGAACATGCGAGGTGCCAGATTCAAGACGAATGGAACGGAACAAAAATGGTAAGCCTGTCACCCCACGACAAAACCGAGCCAGTCCCTGAAATCCAGATGAATCGGGACATGCCAATACACCTCCCAGAGGTCCAGGGGACACCATCCAAGCGTCAGCTGCCAAAAGCAGCCAGACCTGGGATAGAGTGGTCATCTGAAAGGAAGGGCAAAAGACCCAGAGGTTCAGACGGGACAAGTCCAGAATGAACTGCAGATCCGCACAGTCCCGTTTTGGAACTGGAAACAGGCGGGAAATTTACCTGAGGGACAGCGTCGTTTCGACCACGCCCAAACGAACCCGCTTTAAGATGACCCAACTGAATGCACGGGAAAGAGGCCTGCCTTGCCAGCCCCAAACTCCCCGGAGGAGGAGGAACCACCGAACACTACCACAGGCTGGAGGAAACGATCCGAAATGCCCACGAATCGTGGGACCAGGAGAGAGCAAACAGCGCGAGCCTTTCCCCCATCACCCCATCAACAGGGAGAACCACGAAAGGGCCGACAACCCTTACGAGCCCAACCAATGCTCAGAGCGATCACTGCACCGACCAGATGCCGACGGTTCCGCAGGTGGTGCCAGCCCCAAATCTGGCACAACTGGCTTACAACAATTAAAGGAATCCTGAGCCCTGGCACAACCTTTCCGGGCAGGTCTACCTTCGACCCAGGTCGATGGTAGACATGGAATACTTCCAAATACATGGAGGTTTCCATAGGCCATTGCTCCTCTTACCTCTCTGAGGGGGGCCAGGTTCTGGCTCGTGGTCGCTGGTAAGTAAGAACTCCAATCAACTGATGCAACGGTCTAACACATACATATCAGCCCGGTAAGATCCAGGGAGCCGTAGGCGCTCCCCCACAAAAAAAACGTGTTGTGCGAAATGCACCAGCGGTATGCCACATGTACAAGCACACAAACCCTAGTGCATTCCTTAACAATGACACCACAAAACCCTCCCAATCTCATAGCCTTGCAGAGGAGTCAAAAGACCCTTTTACTACTCATGGTGATTCACCCTCCACAGGGGAACAGCCTCTATGGAATGAACACTAACCCACCAGGGAAGTAACCCAGCTAGAGCAGGGGCAACACCAGCGAGCACCTTGGGAAGGGCTGTCCTAAGCACCTGTACTTCAAGATGAACAGTTTCCGGAGACCACACAACAAGTGAGGCTTATAAACACATCCATGTCAAGCAAATTCAAAAGGAAATAATGATACACAAGCAAATAGGTCCCCCACAAGGAAGAGTCAAAGGCTGGCATCATGCAAATGACTGAAGGGTATTGACGGGGTAAACCAGCAGCTCCCATTATGCTGTCACCTGGTGATGGGCAGCTGCTACTATGGAGTGGATGACTTGGCAATTATGTGGATCATTTGAATTTACCTGAATTTACCTGAGTAAATTAAATTTGATAAGTCATTTGGTATAGTGATTGTTTACTTTTTTGTGAAGCGTGCAACGTCTTGCTTCACTTACTTTCTGGGGTTTGATTCTTCAGCGGAAGTAATAATTAGTTCCATGCTCGCTGTGCCCCAGTGAGGTTGGGCAGGTCTTGGCCTCTGGTCTTTGAAAGGCTGTTAAGGACTGAGAAGGGCCGGTGTGACTTGTAGGGGTGGAGTTGGTCTCAGTGCAGCTAGGTACACGACTGTTAAGGACTGACAAGGGCCGGTGTGACTTGTAGGGGTGGAGTTGGTCTCAGTGCAGCTAGGTACAAGGCTGTTAAGGACTGACAAGGGCCGGTGTGACTTGTAGGGGTGGAGTTGGTCTCAGTGCAGCTAGGTACAAGGCTGTTAAGGACTGACAAGGGCCGGTGTGACTTGTAGGTGTGGAGTTGGTCTCAGTGAGGCTAGGTACAAGGCTGTTAAGGACTGACAAGGGCCGGTGTGACTTGTAGGGGTGGAGTTGGTCTCAGTGCAGCTAAGTACAAGGCTGTTAAGGACTGACAAAGGCCGGTGTGACTTGTAGGGGTGGAGTTGGTCTCAGTGCAGCTAGGTACAAGGCTGTTAAGGACTGACAAGGGCCGGTGTGACTTGTAGGGGTGGAGTTGGTCTCAGTGCAGCTAGGTACAAGGCTGTTAAGGACTGACAAGGGCTGGTGTGACTTGTAGGGGTGAAGTTGGTCTCAGTGAGGCTAGGTACAAGGCTGTTAAGGACTGACAAGGGCCGGTGTGACTTGTAGGGGTGGAGTTGGTCTCAGTGAGGCTAGGTACAAGGAGCCACTCTCACCACTCCACAAAGTCACCACAAAGGTTTAAATGTCCAGACGGAAGCCAAAACAACAAGCAAGATTTTAGTAGGCAAGAATTCTTACACTAATATAGTGATGACTGAGGGATACATTTAGGAAATTACACTGCCTGAAATCATCAGTGATTATTAATTTTTTAGTGTAAATTTATACAAGATGAAGATTACATATTACTTTAAACATGCAGTGGTCAAAGTTATCAAAAAGTTCCATATTCAATTGCAGAACACAACTGTTTGGGCACATTTAATTACACCTGAAGCCTCTGTTCACCTAGAAGTAAAGACATATCTGGCAGTAAGGCAACTGTTGTTGTTTGCCTCCTAAGGATAAGGATGGGGGTCATTAGTTGGCCTTGGGGAGAGGGGGAGGCTTTCACCTGATGGCTCTGTTCACCTAGAAGTAAAGACATATCTGGCAGTAAGGCAACTGTTGTTGTTTGCCTCCTAAGGATAAGGGGTAGGGGCCATTAGTATAAGGGGGAGGGGCCATTAGTTGGCCTGGGGGGGGGAGCTTTCACCTGATGCCTCTGTTCACCTAGCAGTAAATAGGTACCTGGGAGTTAGACAACTATTGTGGGGTTGTATCCTCTGGAAGATCAGTAGCTGGCCTATCTAACACAGTGCACAATTACAAACCCATTAAGATTTCAACTTTGATTCAACAGAGCAGAAGAAGAGGAAATGTACATGTTTCTCTCTCAGAATGTTTGGTAATATGTTTATTGTTTGTGATGTGTGTATGTATGTATTAACACGTTGTACTGAACGGGGTGAGAATAGCTTGAGCTACCTCATCCCTTTGTGTGTATTTTACCTCAATAAACTTATTTCAATTTCAATTCAATTTCAACAGAGCAGAAGTTGTTAAACACACATGGCAAAATCTTACTGAAGCGACCATACGAGTCATAAATACTCATACTCCGCCCAAGTAAAACAGAAACAAGCAACAATTAGTGGGCCAGCCAGAGGCTTAGGGCCCGTGCAGAAATATACCCCCCCCCCCAAAAAAAAAGGTAGCTGGCCTCAATAAGTTTAAGAGATTTTGTGTCCGTGACAAGTTGGAAACCATTCATCAAAAGAATAATTACTGACAACTTGAAGTATAATTACCTGCTTGCAGTAACCCGTACATAAGCTGTTGCTGCAGTTTGATCCAAAATAGCCGTCAGAACAGGAGCAAAACGATTCTTCTCTGCCATCCCTCATCTTCAACCGGCAAATTCCACCATTTTCACAATGCAAATCTTTACACTGTTCACATTGATCCCCTAAAAATGAACAGAAACTGAATATTACTAACCAAGCATGATCACATGAGTGTTCATTACATAACACACTTTCTCCAGCAGGTATGCAACACAAACACAAGGCCCACACTGACAGGCAAGCTTCTAACATGGATGAAAAATTTCCCAACTGACAGAAAAATGAAGGCCGTAATCAGAGGCAAGGTATCGGATTGGAGGAATGTCACGAGTGGAGTACCACAGGGTTCAGTTCTTGCACCGGTAATGTTCATTGTATACATAAACGATGCACCAGATGGAATACAGAATTATACGAACATGTTTGCTGATGATGCTAAGATAATAGGAAGGATAAGAAACTTAGATGATTGTCATGCCCTTCAAGATGACCTGGACAAAATAAGTATATGGAGCACCACTTGGCAAATGGAATTTAATGTGAATAAATGCCATGTTATGGAATGTGGAATAGGAGAACATAGACCCCACACAACCTATAAATTATGTGAGAAATCTTTAAAGAATTCTGACAAAGAAAGGGATCTAGGGGTGGTTCTAGATAGAAAACTCACATGAGGACCACATTAAGAACATTGTGCGAGGAGCCTATGCCACACTTTCTAACTTCAGAATTGCTTTTAAATACATGAATGGAGAAATAAAGAAATTGTTCACGACTTTTATTAGACCAAAGCTGGAGTATGCAGTGGTTGTATGGTGCCCATATCTTAAGCACATCAACAAACTGGAAAAGGTGCAACGACATGCCACTAAGTGGCTCCCAGAACTGACAGACAAGAACTACGAGGAGAGGTTAGAGGCATTAAATATACAAAAACTAGAAGATAGAAGAAAAAGAGGCGATATGATCACTACGTTCAAAATAGTAACAGGAATCAATAAAATTGATAGGGAAGAATCCTGAGACCCCGAACTTCAAAAACAAGAGGTCATAGATTTAAACTAACGAAACAAAGCTGCCTGAGAAATATATGAAAATTCACTTTGTAAACAGAGTGGTAGACGGTTGGAACAAGTTAGGGGAGAAGGTGATGGAGGCCAAAACCGTCAGTAATTTCAAAGCGTTATATGAAAAAGAGCGCTGGAAAGACGGGACACCACGAGCGTAGCTCTCATCCTGTAACTACACTTAGGTAATTACACTCCAGCAAGTATGCAACACAAAGCCCTACACTCTCCAGCAAGTATGCAACACAAGGCCCTACACTCTCCAGCAAGTATGCAACACAAGGCCCTACACTCTCCAGCAAGTATGCAACACAAGGCCCTACACTCTCCTGCAAGTATGCAACACAAGGCCCTACACTCTCTTGCAAGTATGCAACACAAGGCCCTACACTCTCTTGCAAGTATGCAACACAAGGCCCTACACTCTCCAGCAAGTATGCAACACAAGGCCCTACACTCTCCAGCAAGTATGCAACACAAGGCCCTACACTCTCCTGCAAGTATGCAACACAAGGCCTTACACTCTCCAGCAAGTATGCAACACAAGGCCCTACACTCTCCTGCAAGTATGCAACACAAGGCCCTACACTCTCCAGCAAGTATGCAACACAAGGCCCTACACTCTCCTGCAAGTATGCAACACAAGGCCCTACACTCTCCAGCAAGTATGCAACACAAGGCCCTACACTCTCCAGCAAGTATGCAACACAAGGCCCTACACTCTCCAGCAAGTATGCAACACAAGGCCCTACACTCTCCAGCAAGTATGCAACACAAGGCCCTACACTCTCCAGCAAGTATGCAACACAAGGCCCTACACTCTCCTGCAAGTATGCAACACAAGGCCCTACACTCTCCAGCAAGTATGCAACACAAGGCCCTACACTCTCCAGCAAGTATGCAACACAAGGCCCTACACTCTCCAGCAAGTATGCAACACAAGGCCCTACACTCTCCAGCAAGTATGCAACACAAGGCCCTACACTCTCCAGCAAGTATGCAACACAAGGCCCTACACTCTCCAGCAAGTATGCAACACAAGGCCCTACACTCTCCAGCAAGTATGCAACACAAGGCCCTACACTCTCCAGCAAGTATGCAACACAAGGCCCTACACTCTCCTGCAAGTATGCAACACAAGGCCCTACACTCTCCAGCAAGTATGCAACACAAGGCCCTACACTCTCCAGCAAGTATGCAACACAAGGCCCTACACTCTCCTGCAAGTATGCAACACAAGGCCCTACACTCTCCAGCAAGTATGCAACACAAGGCCCTACACTCTCCAGCAAGTATGCAACACAAGGCCCTACACTCTCCAGCAAGTATGCAACACAAGGCCCTACACTCTCCTGCAAGTATGCAACACAAGGCCCTACACTCTCCAGCAAGTATGCAACACAAGGCCCTACACTCTCCTGCAAGTATGCAACACAAGGCCCTACACTCTCCAGCAAGTATGCAACACAAGGCCCTACACTCTCCTGCAAGTATGCAACACAAGGCCCTACACTCTCCAGCAAGTATGCAACACAAGGGCTCACACTCTCCAGCAAATATGCAACACAAGGCCCTACACTCTCCAGCAAGTATGCAACACAATGCCCTACACTCTTCAGCAAGTATGCAACACAAGGCCCTACACTCTCCTGCAAGTATGCAACACAAGGCCCTACACTCTCCAGCAAGTATGCAACACAAGGCCCTACACTCTCCAGCAAGTATGCAACACAAGGGCTCACACTCTCCAGCAAGTATGCAACACAAGGGCTCACACTCTCCAGCAAGTATGCAACACAAGGGCTCACACTCTCCAGCAAGTATGCAACACAAGGGCTCACGCTCTCCAGCAAGTATGCAACACAAGGGCTCACGCTCTCCAGCAAGTATGCAACACAAGGGCTCACACTCTCCAACAAGTATGCAACACAAGGCCCACACTCTTCAGCAAGTATGCAACACAAGGCCCTACACTCTTCTGCAAGTATGCAACACAAGGCCCTACACTCTCCTGCAAGTATGCAACACAAGGCCCACACTCTTCAGCAAGTATGCAACACAAGGGCTCACACTCTCCAGCGAGTATGCAACACAAGGGCTCACACTCTCCAGCAAGTATGCAACACAAGGGCTCACACTCTCCAGCAAGTATGCAACACAAGGCCCACACTCTTCAGCAAGTATGCAACACAAGGCCCCCCTACACTCTTCTGCAATTATGCAACACAAGGCCCTACACTCTCCAGCAAGTATGCAACACAAGGCTCACGCTCTCCAGCAAGTATGCAACACAAGGCCCTACACTCTCCAGCAAGTATGCAACACAAGGCTCACACTCTTCAGCAAGTATGCAACACAAGGCCCTACACTCTCCTGCAATTATGCAACACAAGGGCTCACACTCTCCAGCAAGTATGCAACACAAGGGCTCACACTCTCCAGCAAGTATGCAACACAAGGCCCTACACTCTTCAGCAAGTATGCAACACAAGGGCTCACACTCTCCAGCAAGTATGCAACACAAGACCCACACTCTCCAGCAAGTATGCAACACTAGGCCCTACACTGTCAGTGTGGCAGGTCCTTCAGAGGATTGGTCTTCCTGTGAACTTCCTCCCCAGGCTCCTTTATGACTGCTCTTTGGTGGTTCATTCCCTGAACTGTGGGGGGAAAATGGAGAAGGTTGATTTGATCTTACCCCTTTGGAACAAGACTCTTTATGAAGCTTGGGTTCTGGCTACTCAGGACTTGATTCTCTACGTAGTTTAGTTGCAGGGCACGTCAAACGTTTTTGTGGATGGGTTATCTCGTTTCCGTCCCCCTTTTTCAGAGTGAATCGTTATTTACGTTTTCTTTCATTGGTTCTGCAGGATGTTTGGTTGGCCCGAGGTGGACCTCTTCAAGTCATCATGGAACAGAAGGCTTTCCTCCATCATGTCCTACATAGATCCAGTGAGAACTTATTCATGTGGCTCTCAATGAAGATCACTTTTGGCTGAACTGGTTGTAGTGGGGTCCACTTAATTTCCCCCCCTTCCCAGATCATTTGTTGCTCCAGGTGTAGTCAAGATTTAAGACATACTCCAGCAAGGTGATCCTTCTGGCTCCTTGGTGGCTGGCTCAGCCTTGGTTTCCAGCTCTTCTGGTCTTGTGTCCGAACCCTGGCATCTATTGCGGATCTGCTTCTTTCAAACTTTGCTGGTTTGATCTATGAGATTGGAGCATTTGATGAGTGTTTTATCCCCCTTTGTATGATGCACAGGTAGCTGAACTGTTGGCATCCCACCTGTGTCTTTTGTTATGGTAACAGTACCAGCAGTTTCTTGGAACTCTGTTTGCCTTTTTCTGTCTGTTTGTTGTCTTTCTTCAGTGTCTGTTCCAGTGGTCTTGTCTTTTTGTCCTCATTTGTGAATTGGCATCTCATGCCTTATACTGTGATTTCCCATCACTTGACTTTGGGGAAGCCGCTGTTGCTTGCGTTCAGTGCCAACACGTCTTCAGCACCATTTTCCAAGTTGTCTTGGCTTTATTTCACCATCGGCCAGTTCATGTTCCTCGTGAGCTGTTGTGATCTTTCCATCTGGTTTTGGCGTTTCTTCCCCATCGACCCAGGATGCTTTTCTTAAGAGTAGTGCATCATTTGTTGTGTCTGGTGGTGGCAGTTTGCCACTACCTGCACGCCACCTGTTCTGCCCTAGTGGACACCTTGTTGGTTGATCCAGTTTGCTTGGTGTCCTGTTCCAAGAGGCTTCAACAAAAAATCAGCATTGAATGTAATGAAATGCCTCTTTCTGGTAGTATCTGCAGCTCCACGATTCCCCACTTCTTTACCATGTGTGTCAGGTTGTGATGATCAGCTCCAGATTAGCTCCTGTTCAAAGTGGAAGGGTGGAGCTTCTTTGCAGCCATTTGCACTACGGGGTTCAAGTTAGTTTCAAGTGAACCAATTATTTTGAATGAATCATTTGTGGAGACATTTGGCTGTTTTGTTGCTTCATTTTCAGTGAACCTTGCTATTATCTGTATTGATTCAATTATTTTCTGAATGCTTCCTTGGTGTGGGCAATCTTAACCATCCTTTCTTACTGTGTCTCTGTGAGGGGGAAGCCCAGATTCTGGCCCTGGTCCTTAGTAGGCTAAACAAGACTCATGTGACCGATGAGACTCGGTAGTGGGGCGCCATCTTGGTGAGATAGCTTCAGGGAACCATTGAGGCTTTATCATAAAGAGGCATTTCATTACATTCATTGACATTTTTTCTTGATGGTTTCCTGAGGAAACTTCTAGCTCTTAATGGTTTCCTGAGGAAACTTCTAACTCTTCTTGTCTTAGGGAGCAATTGAGTGATAAAACAAAAAAAATCAGGCTTTGAGGGGAATGCGAAAAACATGAAAAAAATAATAATTCTGTTTGATGGAATCAAATTCACATCCTTGGACTCCCCAGGCACACACTATCTGACAAATCCAGGAATGTGGGTTAAATCCCATTGCATGGCCTTAATATTTTTTAATAGATACATTATGTTTTTACAGTTTCATTGTTCATGAAAAGTTTCTGACCGAGTAGATCATGTATCAGCTCTTGTTGTTCCCGAGACTTTTATGTTTCCAGTGCGTAGTTTTTATACTTGGTGACTGTCACAACATAACATTCTCAACTTGGTATTTCTCTACATTGTTATCAGCACTTTGTTCAGCTATCCTGGTATTATAGAATTAATGAAACTCATCGTAACACTGTGTAAGAATACCGACACTGTAGTTTACATGCAAAATAAAATATCATAACCAATTCTTACCAGTAAACTTTCTTGGGCAAATGCAGTAGGGCACATTATCTTCTGTCAGTTTACACGATCCATTATTTTGACAGAAGTTATCACAAGTCTTTACGGGAGTCTCGCACCTCTTGCCTTTCCACTTGGGCCCACAAATGCATTTCAAGATTGGTACACCTGCTACTTCGCCTTTCTCTGTATCAGCAGTACATTGGCCATTGTTTTTACAATAGCCAGAGCACCTGAAAAGACAATACAAGTATTACATCTCAGTAGAATACATACCGTCATGAAAGGATAATGTTAGTACATTTATTACATCCTAGAAGTGTGTTTGTGTGCACAAAATGAAAACACACTTAGATCTAGCATGTTAGGAGTGTTTATACATCATGAAAGGAGAATACATGTGCAAACATGTATTAACATTTTAGCAGTGTGCTTATACATCACTGTTAATGAGATAAGTCAAGGGCTAAACCAAGCTGCTTGCCAATTAGTTGTAGTTTCAGAGTCAGATCATTGGTAGTGGTGTGTGACACAATCTAATCGGTTTGTTCCATGATAGTTCGAACACAGTGAGACACTGGAAGTGCCCAAGTCAACCGCAAGCCAATCAGAATGGAGCTCAAGGAGGCCCAGTAAGCACATGATGTAACCCAAATGCAGTGGGGCATGAAGGACGTCTGTTATAAGTGCCACGAACAACAGGGGAAACTTGGGCATGGAGCTGTCCAAGACCCACATCCTGGGAAAGTATAGGGGCAAACAGCCAGTCATTAAGAGTCTCAACAGAAAGCTTCCCTAAAAGCACCTGAAACACGGTCAACACCTTGCAGCACTCAAGCGAGCGAGGTACAAAAAAAAAAAAAAAAAATCAGTTGAATGTAATGAAACACCATTTTCTAGGCGAGTCCAGGAGGCTCCCCGGAGCTATCCAGGCTGAATGGATATGTATAACTTCCTGGCATCAGTTAATGTGAAGCGAGATCTTGCCTACCAGGGACCCTGAGCCAGAACCTGGCTCTTTCAAGAGAGGCATGAGGAGTAATAGCCTATAGAAACCCCCAGGGTGGTTGGGAACATTCTATATCTGCCATAGACCAGAACTGGCACAGAGAAAGGTAGGCGCCCCAAAACAAACCCCTATTCTGGTGAAACTATTGATATTGAAACTATTACTGGTGAGCCAAACAAGTGGACAAAACTCCCCAAATGAAAATTAGCAAGTGAGCATGATATTATTTCGGGGCGCCACTGTCTGTGTGACCCCCCCTCCCTGGGAGGGGGACCAGGGAGCCCCAGACCCCCACACTGGCAATCCACTCTGCAGTTCTTAGGATAGATGTCAAAATACATGAAAACACCGCCGACTGGATGCTGGGGAGCCCCGTCGGCTCCCTGGAGCTAACTACGCTATGACAATGAAAAACAGGGACTTACCAAGTCGGCAGTCAGTCCTCATTCTTCAACATGAAGTTGAGACAACTGGCTGCAACCGTTGACCCAATGTAACACAAGCCCTAAAAGGTCCAGGGACAATGACAAGGTAGCGAGCAGCCAGGACCCTGTTCGACCTCCTAAAACCCCGTACCAAATGTCAACACAAGACATGTTGCCAAAGACGGCAGTCAAAGCAGCAAACTTGCACACATCGTGGGCACCAGGATAGACCTCAGGTTGGATCGCCCTAATAATCCTGCAGACGACCTGGGAGACCAGAGCCTGGGAACAGGGAAGAAGGGAAACCGAATCAACCCAAAGCGCACCCCCGGCCACCGAAGCCGTGGCGCACAAATAATGAGGGAGAGCCGCAACCAGACACAAGACATGAAGCACCCCAGCCTGACCAGCCAAGCATCAACAACCCAAGATCAGAAAGCAGCAGTCTCATTCTTCGCCAGAAAAGAAGGAAACGGCTGCAACCGAATAAACCTACCACCAGGACCAAAAGAGCTGAAACCCCTGCACCGGAGGAGAGCATGAAGCTCCCTGACCCGACCCCCAGAGGCCAATGCCAACAGGAAAAAGAGCTTTGGAAAAACAATCCTGAACCAAAGGGGCCACCACAAGCCGAGGAGAAGAGAGGAAAGAGCACCTGGTCCAAGGTCCAGGAGAGCTCAGGCGATGCATGAGCAGGCCAGAACTGCTCACTGCTACCCCAGTTTAGTTGTTGCTCTGGGTGTTGTCCAGGTCTGAGACACAGTCAGGTAAGGCGATCCTTATGGCTCCATGGTAGTTTGCTCAGCCTTCGTTTTCAGCTCTTCTGACTGCCTCTTTCAACAGACTTTTTCAACATGTAAATAATTCACTCAAATTTTGTGTAACCTAACTTATTAATGTACAACTATTTATATGAATAGTTTTATTTTATTTTATTTGATATCTACCCTTCACTTGCCTATACAAAGAGAAGAAAAGTATTAATAATTAAAAGTGATGCATGTATATTTACCTGTACTTCTCACAGTGGTCCCCCTGGTACATTGGCTGACACTGGCAGCGCGGGCCTTTGTCTGTCTGTACACACTCTCCCTTATTACAAAACAATGGACACTGAGTCTCCTTTGAAGGCTTCGTATGACATTTCTTCACACCTAAAAACATCATAAACAAATATAAGTAATTATAACAGAAGATTAAAATATTTACATATAAATCTCATATGCAGAAATGGCTGCATATAAGTCATAATAACATGACAAACAACATAACCCACACAATGGAAATGAAAGTTATGACATTTCAGTTCGTTCTGGAATACAACTAGTCAAACTATAAACAAGTCCCCCCCCCCTGGGAAAATATAGATGAATGACATTGACTGTAACAGCGATGTCGCTCTAATCATGTTGATGACTGGTTGAATATACATTACTCCAGCATATTTTTTCTCTCTGGGTTTCATTTCATGTGTGTAGATTGAATTATTGCTTAACCACTGCATTGTGCAAAGCGCCTTTAGGTGCTCTGAAAGCTGCGATTTTTTTTTAATGAGGTTATATTTCATCACGTTTTATACGTTGATACGTTTTATATATGTTTGTTTATGTTCGTTTTACACATATATCTGCCATACGTTTTCATCACTCTGTGTTTTGAAATAGAAATAGTTGAGTTTGGAAACATTTTGACATTAACTTTACCTGAACATTTATAAAAACAACAATAAAATGTCCTTGACAATTGCACCAAGAAATTTTTGCCGAAACCATGTGCGCAGTGCAAGGGTTTTTGAAAATCTCTGTAACACAGCCACAACAATAATGGCCCCTTGCTACACAGCCACAACAGTAATGGCCCCTTGCTACACAGCCACAACAGTAATGGCCCCTTGCTACACAGCCACAACAGTAATGGCCCCTTGCTACACAGCCACAACAGTAATGGCCCCTTGCTCCACAGCCACAACAGTAATGGCCCCTTCCTACACAGCCACAACAGTAATGGCCCCTTGCTACACAGCCACAACAGTAATGGCCCCTTGCTACACAGCCACAACAGTAATGGCCCCTTGCTACACAGCCACAACAGTAATGGCCCCTTGCTACACAGCCACAACAGTAATGGCCCCTTGCTACACAGCCACAACAATAATGGGCCCTTGCTACACAGCCACAACAATAATGGGCCCTTGCTACACAGCCACAACAATAATGGGCCCTTGCTACACAGCCACAACAATAATGGGCCCTTGCTACACAGCCACAACAATAATGGGCCCTTGCTACACAGCCACAACAATAATGGCCCCTTGCTACACAGCCACAACAATAATGGGCCCTTGCTACACAGCCACAACAATAATGGGCCCTTGCTACACAGCCACAACAGTAATGGCCCCTTGCTACACAGCCACAACAGTAATGGGCCCTTGCTACACAGCCACAACAGTAATGGGCCCTTGCTACACAGCCACAACAATAATGGGCCCTTGCTACACAGCCACAACAGTAATGGCCCCTTGCTACACAGCCTCAACAGTAATGGCCCCTTGCTACACAGCCACAACAATAATGGCCCCTTGCTACACAGCCTCAACAGTAGTGACATAATGAGAGTAATTCAGTACTGGTACTAGTCTCCCTAAGTTCAGGCCTATGGCACTATGATTCATTTATTATTAATTACCTTAAATCACACGTATGAAATGAACATTTTAACATCTCAATCCATCTTGGACCCGTACTCGGCGATCAAGTGGTGACGTAGCAAGAGTGGGAGAGGGTGTCAATACTGGGCTCTCGCCCTCGTGGCAAGAGTGGGAGAGGGTGTCAATACTGGGCCCTCTCCCTCGTAGCAAGAGTGGGAGAGGGTGTCAATACTGGGCCCTCTCCCTCGTAGCAAGAGTGGGAGAGGGTGTCAATACTGGGCTCTCGCCCTCGTGGCAAGAGTGGGAGAGGGTGTCAATACTGGGCCCTCTCCCTCGTAGCAAGAGTGGGAGAGGGTGTCAATACTGGGCCCTCTCCCTCGTAGCAAGAGTGGGAGAGGGAGTCAATACTGGGCCCTCTCCCTCGTAGCAAGAGTGGGAGAGGGAGTCAATACTGGGCTCTCTCCCTCGTAGCAAGAGTGGGAGAGGTGTCAATACTGGGCCCTCTCCCTCGTAGCAAGAGTGGGAGAGGGTGTCAATACTGGGCCCTCTCCCTCGTAGCAAGAGTGGGAGAGGGAGTCAATACTGGGCTCTCTCCCTCGTAGCAAGAGTGGGAGAGGTGTCAATACTGGGCCCTCTCCCTCGTAGCAAGAGTGGGAGAGGGTGTCAATACTGGGCCCTCTCCCTCGTAGCAAGAGTGGGAGAGGGTGTCAATACTGGGCTCTCTCCCTCGCAGCAAGAGTGGGAGAGGGTATCAATACTGGGCCTTCTCCCTCGTAGCAAGAGTGGGAGAGGGAGTCAATACTGGGCCCTCTCCCTCGTAACAAGAGTGGGAGAGGGTGTCAATACTGGGCCCTCTCCCTCGTAGCAAGAGTGGGAGAGGGAGTCAATACTGGGCCCTCTCCCTCGTAGCAAGAGTGGGAGAGGGAGTCAATACTGGGCCCTCTCCCTCGTAGCAAGAGTGGGAGAGGGAGTCAATACTGGGCCCTCCCCCTCGTAGCAAGAGTGGGAGAGGGAGTCAATACTGGGCCCTCTCCCTTGTAGCAAGAGTGGGAGAGGGTGTCAATACTGGGCTCTCGCCCTCGTGGCAAGAGTGGGAGAGGGAGTCAATACTGGGCTCTCTCCCTCGTAGCAAGAGTGGGAGAGGGAGTCAATACTGGGCTCTCTCCCTCGTAGCAAGAGTGGGAGAGGGTATCAATACTGGGCCTTCTTCCTCGTAGCAAGAGTGGGAGAGGGTGTCAATACTGGGCTCTCTCTCTCGTAGCAAGAGTTGGAGAGGGTGTCAAAACTGGGCTCTCGCCCTCGTGGCAAGAGTGGGAGAGGGAGTCAATACTGGGCCCTCTCCCTCGTAGCAAGAGTGGGAGAGGGAGTCAATACCGGGCCTTCTCCCTCGTAGCAAGAGTGGGAGAGGGAGTCAATACTGGGCTCTCTCCCTCGTAGCAAGAGTGGGAGAGGGTATCAATACTGGGCCTTCTTCCTCGTAGCAAGAGTGGGAGAGGGTGTCAATACTGGGCTCTCTCTCTCGTAGCAAGAGTTGGAGAGGGTGTCAATACTGGGCTCTCGCCCTCGTGGCAAGAGTGGGAGAGGGTGTCAATACTGGGCTCTCGCCCTTGTAGCAAGAGTGGGAGAGGGTGTCAATACCGGGCCCCTCTCCCTCATAGCAAGAGTGGGAGAGGGTGTCAATACTGGGCCTTCTCCCTCGTAGCAAGAGTGGGAGAGGGTGTCAATACTGGGCTCTCTCCCTCGTAGCAAGAGTAGGAGAGGGTGTCAATATTGGGCTCTCTCCCTCGTAGCAAGAGTGGGAGAGGGTGTCAATACTGGGCTCTCGCCCTCGTAGCAAGAGTGGGAGAAGGAGTCAATACTGGGCTCTCTCCCTCGTAGAAAGAGTGGGAGAGGGAGTCAATACTGGGCCCCTCTCCCTCGTAGCAAGAGTGGGAGAGGGTATCAATACTGGGCCTTCTCCCTCGTAGCAAGAGTGGGAGAGTGTGTCAATACTGGGCTCTCTCCCTCGTAGCAAGAGTGGGAGAGGGAGTCAATACTGGGCTCTCTCCCTCGTAGCAAGAGTGGGAGAGGGAGTCAATACTGGGCTCTCTCCCTCGTAGCAAGAGTGGGAGAGGGAGTCAATACTGGGCCCTCTCCCTCATAGCAAGAGTGGGAGAGGGTGTCAATGCTGGGCCCTCTCCCTCATAGCAAGAGTGAGAGAGGGTGTCAATACTGGGCCCTCTCCCTCGTAGCAAGAGTGGGAGAGTGTGTCAATACTGGGCTCTCTCCCTCGTAGCAAGAGAGGGAGAGGGTGTCAATACTGGGCCCTCTCCCTTGTAGCAAGAGTGGGAGTGTCAATACTAGGTCCTTCTCCCACGTAGCAAGAGTGGGAGAGTCAATACTGGGAGTCAATACTGAGAGTCAATACTGGGTCCTCTCCCTCGTAGCAAGAGAGGGAGAGGGAGTCAATACTGGGCCCTCTCCCTTGTAGCAAGGGTGGGAGAGGGAGTCAATACTGGGTCCTCTCCCTCGTAGCAAGAGTGGGAGAGGGTGTCAATACTGGGCAAGTGGGAGGGTGAGGTGAGAGGAGACATGGGGGGGAGGGCCAAGAGGGAGGGTGAGGTGAGAGGAGACATGGGGGGTGAGAGGAGACATGGGGGGTGAGCAGAGGCATGGGGGATAAGAGGAGGCATAGGGTGGGGGACAAATGGAACAATTACTATGAAAACTGAACATAACGACAATTCAAACTGCAGAATAACTATTGGACAGCTAAACCAATTAAGCTGAGAAGGAAGTAGCATGCCTCCACTTCTAGTGAATCTCTCCAAACACTATGTTAACTCTCTCAAACTAAAATCTTTATTATACAAAATTTATAATTGTGCTATTTATATATATAATTTATAAACCCTACGCATAATTAGTGCCAATAAAATATACAAATATTGTATCTACTTAGTTACCACAGTAATTTCATTTCTGTATTTTTATAAGTTTAATATTACAGTATCATCATCAATCACTACTGAATATAACAAAGGTGACAGCAAACCCCAAACTGTAATGATAATGTAAACCAGTACTTACCTTCCACAATTTCTTCGATCAAGCCATCGGGACAAAGGCAAGAGTAATTCTTTGGGCCAGATATGAGACACATGGCATCTGCGTCACAGGGGTTGCCAGCACATGGATTGAATACTAGTAAAAATGAACAATTGGTTATGCACAACACAAGGTTCAATACAAGTATATTACAATAAGAAATGCAATGTCAATATACTACAATAATAGTAGCACAGTGGTCTACAGCCTCGGCTCACAATTGAGGGACACGGGTTCAATCCCAGAGCAAGACAAATGGTTTGGCACATTCTTTTCGCCTTTGTCTCTATTCACCTAGCCATTAAGTAGGAACCCCACGTGTCAGGCAACTGTTGTGGGATGTATTCTGGGGAAAGTCAGTAGTGTGCCTGGGGATGGGATAAAGGGGACCTCAATAAGCCTAAGTAGAGACTTTCTGACCTCGACAACAAGAATTAGTGTCCAAAAGGCAACTGAAATGTTTTATTATCATTTGTTCATAGAAACATTGAGTGAAGCAGGATTTCCTGTCCTGCTCTTGCAACCATGAAGCACATTGCATACATTTATGCAAAGGAAGTTTTCAACAGTGTTATATATAGTGTGTGATGTTCATGTCCCCAATCCTTCTGTGTGTCATAACCATACCCAGGTCCTTCTGTGATATGGCCATGCCTAGGTCCTTCTGTGTGTTATGGCCATGCCCAGCTCCTCCTCTGTGATATGTCCATGCCCAGGTCCTACACTGTATTATGTCTATGCCCAGATCCTTGTGTGATAGGTTATCCTGAGGCTATCTTTAGATGATTTCGGGGCTTAGCGTCCCCATGGCCCAGTCCTCGACCAGGCCTCCTTTTTGTTACACATCCCCAGGAAACAGCCCGTAGCAGCTGTTTAACTTCCAAGTACCTATTTACTGCTAAGTGAACAGGGGCATCAGGGTGAAAGAAACTCTACCCCTTTGTTTCCACCTCCACCGGGGACCGAACCTGGAATCCCTCAGGACTACAAATAAGAAGCGTTGTCCACTCAGCTCTCAGGCCCCTTGATATGATATGTCCATGCCCAGCTCCTCCTCTGTCCATGCCCAGGTCCTTCTCTGTGATATGTCCATGCCCAGGTCGTACACTGTGTTATGTCCATGCCCAGGTCCTTCTCTGTGATATGTCCATGCCCAGGTCCTACACTGTGTTATGTCCATGCCCAGGTCCTACACTGTTTTATGTCCATGCCCAGGTCCTTCTCTGTGATATGTCCATGCCCAGGTCCTACACTGTGTTATGTCCATGCCCAGGTCCTACACTGTGTTATGTCCATGCCCAGGTCCTACACTGTGTTATGTCCATGCCTAGGTCCTTCTGTGTGTTATGGCCATGCCCAGGTCCTTCTCTGTGATATGTCCATGCCCAGGTCCTACACTGTATTATGTCCATACCCAGCTCCTTCTCTGTGATATGTCCATGCCCAGGTCCTACACTGTATTATGTCCATACCCAGCTCCTCTGTGATATGTCCATGCCCAGCTCCTTCTCTGTGATATGTCCATACCCAGGTCCTACACTGTGATATGTCCATACCTAGGTCCTACACTGTGATATGTCCATGCCCAGCTCCTTCTCTGTGATATGTCCATGTCCAGGTCCTTCTCTGTGTGTTATTCATGACATACTGACTGTCAAGCTAATTTTAAAGCCTAACATAAGCTAATCTTAAGACCTACAGATTGCTCATCAAAACACACTTACATGACTTATCTTGCTTCTTCTCCTGAACTATGAGGACATCTGATATCTTGATTGTGTGATGAGAGATGCGGGACATCTCAGGAAGGCGATTCCCAAACTTGTTCAACCGATATACCGAATTTGTATCGTGGGTGATGACATATACCATGTCCTCGAAGACATCTAGGTTGCTAGGCACACCTTCGCCTGTTAATGCAATGATTTATGTAACTTTGTTCATAATTCTGTTAAGATATTACGCAGTACACAAAAAGTTTATGAAATCAAAGTCACTGAATATTTATCACATATTGTATTTGATGATGGGTAGGACATATGTTTTTGATCCACCACAGACAAAATTAATATTGTATTTCCATTCAAAAAATCTTGTGTGAATGATTTTCTACAAAAACACTTGAAAATCACTTTCCGTAAATGCGTCTTTTATGCCACATAATACCAATACCCTGTATGGTATATGAACAATACAAACTAATATTTGCAGGTTTTGCCACTTTAATTTATATTTTTCCTTACTGAAAATAGTAGAATACAGGTTTATGTATATAGCATATTGTATATATTTATGTGCATGTTTAGCAACTAATTAAAACTTACAAATGTATACTGTATTGTTAAATGTCAAAACTATAAAAGACAAACGCACACTTACCGGGACCAAACTGTCTCACAAGTTGCCTATCTGAGCCATCTAGCAAGACAGTTTCTATTTTATTAGTCTTTATATCTGCCCAATACAGTCTACGTGTGGGATAGTCAATGGCCAGCCCCACCGGCGAGAGTATATTGCGATCCAGTAATCGTTTTTTGTTCTGCCCATCCATGCCAGCAACATCAATGCCTGGACTGAATCCCCAGTCAGTCCAAAACAACTGTCTGCGAAAGAGAATTTTTATTTAGTTCCTACAAACCATAAAAACCGAAATTCACGCAATTTGTATACATCATGAATATGGTATTCACTTACCATAATTATACCCATTAACATACCCAGACTGTGGATCAACCACGATATCCTGTGTTTGTTCCAAGCCTGTGGAAATAAGTGTGATTTTCTTGGATCCATCTGGATACACTGCTAAGATGGTCCTGTCTCCAGCATTGACAACGTACACGAGACCCGTCACCCAGTCCACTGCCACACCTTGGGGCCTCTTCAAGTCCCTCAGCTGAAATTGTTGTATACATCAAAAACAAATAATTCTGTTTATATTATAGACAAGACTAAGAACATTTCATTTCACACTTGACTACTAAGTAAACTCGCTAATGAGTAAATATACCAACGAATAGACTCCCTAATGAGTAAACTTACTACTGAGTAAACTCACTAATGAATAAACTCACTATTGACTAAACTCACAAGTGAGTAAACTTACTAATTAGTAAACTCACTAATAGGTAACATACCCAAAGAGTAAACTCATTAATATTGTCTTCAAATCCTTCAGTTCAAATGATACCGCAACCTCTTTTTCTCCTCAGACTAATATGCTAAAACGAGACAAGATTAAACACTTTATACCTAAACTTACCAAAATCGTTGAGGAAGAAGCCTCCCTACGGACACGGGAACTATCCTCTTCGTGTGTAGTTGGCACCGACATGGACACTAACGTATTATCATGCAAGTTGGTCCAAAAGGCCCGTGGTTGTTGATCGTACAGCACATCCACACTGTGGACCCTTGTAACCTTAGAGTCTTCCTGGAAAATATAATCAATGTCAAAATATGCAGAGCAAAATCTCTACTCTAATGTGGGTGAAACCAATAACCCAACTCACTCATATGAAATGATATAAAAATGACAACAACACGCCTTACATTATCCGTCATCCAATACCTCATGTTGCACGTGGACGAGTTGTCAAAGATACCATCACCCAAGATTTTGTAATGAAGTGGAACATGTCATGCTCACCTTTGTATTATTGGTCCATAAAAAAGAAAGATGGGAAATTTGAAGACATGTCAGATATAAAAGCAGAAAAATTTATGTAATGATGACCAGATAAAGGCTGTAACACACCAAACTGGCAGCACACAGCTCTAAGTACAGAACAAACATTAACAAACTCTGCAGCCACTGTCAGGTGCCTGAAACAATCGAATACTATCTTTCACTGTTTCCGACATCATAGTGCTAGAGTAAACTTCAAACAAGCATTTATCGCACTTAAAATACCCTTTACCATAGAGCACATATTAGATGGTGGTGACCTCTCGTTACAGGAAAAATATAAAATAATCAAAGCACCGGCTAGGTATCTCTAGTCGATCAACAAATTGGGCCACGTTTGACATGTGTCACATTTATACTTGGCGCCACCAGCAGCCAAACACAGAAAATAACTGCCTTGTAGCAGCATCAAGGATCAGCTGACTCTATAAACACAACATACCGCCCTATGGTGCGGCAAGTCTTCCTCTAACACACACGCCTTTGTTTTAGTCGCCGTTCCTCTATCTACAGCACAACGCAACAAACACCTGAGAGGCAGGACCAAAGAGCCAGAGCTCAACCCCCGCAAGCACAACTAGGCGAGTACCTCTGAAACTCTTATCATTCTCAACAAACAAGTCTCCCACCATTTGTACTGGTGCAGTCATCGGGAGGATAAACAGTTCATGCAAACTGCACCTACCATCAAGAAGAAGAAAATTACAATGTTTGGGGGCATCGATGACCCTCATCAAGTTATGATTTGATAACTCAAACCATGATAGTCCATCATGGACCAAAATCTTATAACTTTTATTTCATTTAATATGAGTTAGTTGGGTTATTAAAATTTCTAGTTACTATAAAGAACCTTTCATATAACCAGTGTTAAATGTAATGAAATGCAATTTCTGGGTGAGCCCCAGTGGCTCCCTGAAGCTGCTATGCTGATATTTAATCATCTTGTAAAATTGCATCAGCTGTGGAGTTCTATAGGCCTACTGGAAACCAGCTCCAGAACCTGGACCACTCGAAGAGGCGCAGGGAGTAGTGACATTTTTGCCACATCACCAGGAAAGGCAACCAAAAAGTTAGCAAGTCAAAACAAACCACTGCTGGCTTAAATAGAGACCAAAGCCTTGAGAACTGCCAGAGTCCCACACAATGCCCAGCCAAGTCTGAACCTGGGATGGAACCAATTAGGACCTCCGCCAGCACAACTAGTACCCAAACCCAGTAAATTGGTAAAGAACCATATGAACAAAAAACCAGCGTTGAATGTAATGAAACGCCATTTTCTGGGTGAGCCCCGGAGGCTCCCTGGAGCTTATCGGGCTAATGTGTGTTATGTTAGACCGGGACATTAGCTAAGGAGTTCAGACCTACCAGGGACCAGCGCCAGAACCTGGCCCCTTCAGAGAGGTTTCAGGGAGCAATGGCCCTGGAAAACCCCATATGGTTGGGGGTTTTCCTTATCTGCCATCGACCGGGGTTAGGCACCCAGAAAGGTAGGCGTAACAAAACAAACCCCACATGGTAAGAAACTACAACAAAAACCGAACAGAGAGGTAGAAAACTCCCTACAATCCCAAGGAAACAAGCAAACAAGCAAACATCACACTTTACTGCCGCGCCGATCGTCCGCGCAGCCCTCCCCACCCCGGGAGGGGGAGGGGGGAGCCCCGGACCTACCGCGCCGGCTGCCAAGCTCCAGTTCGGAAGCTAAGCTTCAACCAACGCGAAAAAACCGCCGACCGGTGGGAGGGAGGGTTTCCAGGGAGCCTCCGGGGCTCACCCAGAAAATGGCGTTTCATTACATTCAAGGCTGGTTTTCTGTGGGGAGCCCCTACGGCTCCCTGGAGCTTCATACCCAAAGAGAAGGAAAAGAAAGGGCTAACCCGGGAGGCGGCCGCCACAAACTCTGCAACGCAAAGCCAAGACAACCGGTCGCAAACCTGCAACCCAAGGCAACAAGAACGCCCAAGAACAGACGCACATATGGATGGGCGGCCAAAAACCTGTGCGACCCACAATTCCCTGCGCCCGAAATGAGCCCGAGACGTCACCAACACAGCAGCAATTGCTGCAAACGTCTGAACAGCACGGGCGCAAAGACAGACCGCAGTAAGAAGGAAAACACTGCGGACGACCCGGGAAACCCGAGCCCTGAAAACAGGGAACGAAGGAACCGGATCAACCACAGCGCATCCCCAGGCACGGTACGCCGGCAACAGCAAAAAGCACAACTGGACAACACAGGACGCACCCCCCGGCCAAACCAAACAAGTACCAATACCCCAAGAACCCCTCCGGAAAGCAGCCGTCTCGACCGTCGCCAGGACAGAGAAAGGCTGCACACCAATAAAGCTACCACCAGTACCAAAGAGGAGGAAACTGAAACCGAAGGGGCTACCACAAACTGAGGGGAAGAGAAGAAGGCACCCTGAACAAGGACCAGGATGGCTCAGGCGACTCATGAGCAGGCCGGAGGGGAAACAAAACGCGAGAAGACGTAATAACCGTCATACAGTCTCCAAGACGAAGCTCGCAGGTGGGACACCGTCAACAAAGCCACCTGAACACCATAGAGATGGCGATACCTGCGTCAAAATACCAGACGCGAAGAGCCAAAGAGAAGGCCGAACCAGTCACGGACAGGACCGATTCGGCCTGCTGAAAGAGGCGAAGCCTCAGGAAAAACGCCCCGGGTACGGACACCTATCAAGCAGCGTCTGAAAAGAAGGCCGGGCCGGCCACAGTGGAACCATAAGGACTGTTCTCGTGGGAATGGGCTGCAACTGAGCCAGAACCCGAAGCAACAGCTGGACCGGGAGAAGAGGTACAGGTACCCCCCACCTCGACCAGGCCTGCCGAAAGCCTCCACCGTGAAGTCCTCGCAGGTGGGAAGGGCGCCACAAAACGGGCGACGCCTAGACCACGCCGACCCGAAGACGTCCATGGCCAGGAGTCCATAAGCCCAACAGAGCCAACAAAACGAATCGGCGACGACTGGCCAACCCACGAAGAGGAATGAACCGAGACAGCTGCCCACCAGGACGCAGGACACACCCCGGACACGAACCACACGGTTAACCAAACCCCCTGTGGTTCCGGCAAGAACCACCAGAGAACAGTCCAAACAGAGCTGAATGGTAGAGTACCTAGTGACCCAAACCCTCCGAAGCGCAAACCAGACAGCCATGAACACCTGAACCGGGCTGTGAGCCCGACGGACAGACAGACTCCATCAACCTCGGCCGACCTGGTGAGCACTGGTCACAAAGCCCCAGCCGAGAGACGACCCGTCCGTGAACACATCGAGCGAAGGCTCGGGGAGCCGCCAAGGCACGGAACCCCGAAAACCCCAAAGAGGAAGCTGGTGACGCAGCACCAACACCAGATCCCCAGAGGAACCCAAGGAATGCAAGAGGCGGAAGTGGAGTCTCCGTAGGAACCAACCGACGCCGGAGCCAAACCCGACTCCGCGGGCAGACAAGCACGCCAAAGTGCAAACTCCCGCACAACCGCCCAAGCAACCGCTGAGCAACCCGGGACCCCCTCCTGAACAGCCAAAGGCGGGACCACAGCCACAGTAACACTTCTGGAGGGAAGACAATGAGGGGCCCAAGAGCCTGAAACAAGGCCCAGGTCCGAACCCGGGACGGAAACAGAAGGTAAAACCTCCAGATCACCAGGAAACCAAACCCAGCGATCTGGAAAGAACCATCCCCTGGCGAGCAGACAAGCGGACTGACTGGGAGCCCACTCCAGCCAGTCGTCGAGGTAGGCCAGACACCGAATCTCAGACGCAGACAGGGCACTAAGATCCGGTAAAGATGCAAAGAGTATACAAAGTGCCCTTCACAAAATAGGGAATGCAATAAAAACAGCAAACCTGAAGCCCCACCACCAAAGCATTGTATGACAATCATATGAAGACATATTATGACACATGACAATCATTATATGACAATATGACAATTATAATCAAAGCATTATATGACAAAGAGTGCTGGGAAGACTGGACACCACGAGAGTAGCTCTCATCCTGTAACTACACTTAGGTAAGTACACATAGGTAATTACCAACCGTGCTAGCCCCAGAAAAACTGGAGAGGAACGTGCCAAGAAGTGACCTGGAGGTCCAGGTCCACCATCCATGCACCCGGCCCTAACCGAATCTGAACAGGAGACAACAGTCCTCCGAGCAGGGCAGAGGATCCAGGGCGCAGACGGAAGTAGTCCAGAAGAACTGCAGACTGGAAAAGCTCATGACTGCAAAGAGCAGACGGGAAAAGCTCATGACCGCAAAGAGCAGACGGGAAGCCCAGAAGGATGGGGCGGATCGACCACGCCCCACGCACCCACGAAGAGGAAATGACGAAGCGCAGGGAAGAAGCCCACCCCGCCAGCTCTGAACCCCCCCCAAGGGGGAGAAGCCGTCCTCCGACGCCAGCAGAGGCCGGAAGACAACCCAAAGCGCCCACCAACAGCGGGACCAAGCGAGAGGCAACAGAGCAAGCTGCTCCCCCAGCGCCCAGTCAACAGAGAAGGGAACAGAACCCCTTCAGAAAGAAAAAGTACACTACCGAAGTCATGAGGAGAGACTACGGGAATGAAACCACACTTCGCTGGAAGAGGAAGTGAGGGGAGACCTGATCACCACATACAAGATACCCAAGGGAATCGACAGGGTTGAGAAGGACAGGCTATGTAACACAAGGGGCACACGCACTAGGGGACACAGGTGGAAACTGAGTACCCAAAAGAGCCACAGATAGAATTAAAGTTTTTTTTTTTTTTTTTTTTTTGAGTGTCAGAATGGGAACGGGAAAGCACTAAGAAGTAAAGTGGCGACTCCTCACACAAGTAACGAGGCTGACCCCCATACAATGTCACATGTAGACATGACAGAGCCCAAGAGGCACAGGAACCGATACACCTGTTGACGGACGGTTGAGAGGCAGGACCAAGGAGCCAGAGCTCAACCCCCACAAGCACAACTAGGTGAGGACATATATTGTAAAAGCACAAGCCGCCGACTAGTGGCAAAGAGCACTACGCTGGCCAGGCAAAGAAGGCACAAAACTGCATCAAAAGGCCCACCTCGACAGCAAAACCTCAAAGTCCCAGCACAACCACAACATGTGCCAAGACCCAAAAAGCTCAGTCTGCAAGCCAGGAAGACCCCGGAACCCCAAAAGGCAGAACCGGGTCACACGAGGAAACAAAGTCCCCCGAACCCACAAAAGGGGGCCCAAGAGGAAGAAACCTCCAGAACGAAACCAAGGAACCCAAAGGAACCCAGAATCGAACCAGGGGGAGCCCAAACCACCACATTTGCCGGCGGAGAACACCACTAAAAGGCAAAGCACAGACCCCAGCAGAACGCCCTGGGAAAACGGTCCCAACAGACCGAAAACCGAGGGGCAAGGTGTGGGAGCAAGCATACCAGCCAGGGGCACTGAGCCTAAACCCAGAGGCTCAGACCCAAAATCAACACCCAAACGTTCCCAGAGGAACAGGCAACGGCAAGAAAACACCAGAAAAACAAAGAAACGACAACAGGAGAACAAAAACCCTGCAAATTTTTTGAAAACTCGCCAGAGACGCTCACTCGCACACCCAGACGCATGTAAACAAACCGCAACGCCGCCCTGGTGGCCATGCCGTGAAACCGGCAGACGAAAATGGCCGCCAGCAGGGGCTGTGACTGACGCTTAATACACAAAAACACGCCAGCAAATGTGGGAAGCTAGCAGACTGGAAGGGCGAAAAACGACGCCCAACAGCAGAAAAACCCCTGAAGGGGCAAAACCGCCCCAGAACTGCTAGCAGGCAACCCCCACAGCCCCGGGAACCAACAACAGAGGCCCCGGGGCAGAGCCGTCCTCCAAGCCCTCCGCCCTTAAAGAAAAGCAAGAGCCCATGGGAAAGGCAACAAGAAAGGGCCGCTGGTAAGACCCAGAAGCCTTGGCAGGAGGCACAGGCTCAAACCTCCGTCCCCAACCCGAACGGGGCATCCCCCGAAAACCGCCCGAGTCTCTGCCGCAACTGAACCCCGCCCCGACCCCGAAACCCGCAGACGGTCCGGAGCCGGGAACATGGAGAGAAAGGGGCGAGCAGCACCTAACCAAACGGGGCGGCCACGGGGCATTCGAGTGGGAAACCAACCTAGCATGTTGCAGCAACCTAACCTAGCTTGCAACACGGATGCCGCCTGTACTCTGAACAGTAATAACATCAGGAGAGTACTGGAGAACGAGCAGAGAATCACTCGCAAGACTCCGGGTCAAGGTGTCAGTGACCCAACAGGCAGCATGACGGAGGTAAAAATGGCGACTGTCACCCGGAGACAAGGGAACAGCAACCAACGATCCCGTTCAAGACGGGTTGGAACCCGGAAGACACATTCAATGGTCCCCCGAGCCCAGACAGGGGTTTCCAGGGCCCGTAGGGTAACAACTACGGGAAGCCCGGGCAAGGTGTTGCTAACCGGTTAAGAAACCCAAACATAACAAGAGGGTAGATGATAGCACTGAAAACCCCTGAGACGTGTACAAGCACGGGGGCCTAGCAGAGGGCCGCCAAACACTACCAGTGGAACTATAACCACCTTAGGCAGACCCCCACCAGGCAAGAAAATGAAAAACAAAAGAAAAACCCCGCAAAAGTACACCGTCTCCAGAGGCAACAGAAACCGGCCGCCGCTTAGGTGGCAGGCTGCGCAACACCTTGACGCCCTAACCAGCACAATACCAATCCCTACCCAGGGCCAAACAAGGGCCCCAAGCCCCAGCTGGCCCCAAGGGCGAGGCAAATGCCGAACAGCAAGAACCTCTACGGGAATGGTTCCCGAACGCCCCAGGGAAGATAACCCTGTAACGCAAGGGCAGTACTCACAGGGCGCTTAGGGAAGTCAGCCACTAAGCACATGCAGCCCCGGCACTGATGAAGTACTCCTGGCCACCGCACACCACAACACACGGCAGTGAACGCCACACAAGGCAAACACCGCCTAGGAAACTGAGGCCAGAGAAGCGTCAATCCCGGTTGACATTAGCGAACGAACTGGAGCTTGGCAGCCGGCGCGGTAGGTCCGGGGGTCCCCCCTCCCCCTCCCGGGGTGGGGAGGGCTGCGCGGACGATCGGCGCGGCAGTAAAGTGTGATGTTTGCTTGTTTGCTTGTTTCCTTGGGATTGTAGGGAGTTTTCTACCTCTCTGTTCGGTTTTTGTTGTAGTTTCTTACCATGTGGGGTTTGTTTTGTTACGCCTACCTTTCTGGGTGCCTAACCCCGGTCGATGGCAGATAAGGAAAACCCCCAACCATATGGGGTTTTCCAGGGCCATTGCTCCCTGAAACCTCTCTGAAGGGGCCAGGTTCTGGCGCTGGTCCCTGGTAGGTCTGAACTCCTTAGCTAATGTCCTGGTCTAACATAACACACATTAGCCCGATAAGCTCCAGGGAGCCGTAGGGGCTCCCCACAGAAAATGAACAAAATAAGACTGAGGGGCAAGGAAGGAACTGGTGTATATCAAGAGAACATGCTGGGCAGTGGTATTAGGTAGAAAGTAGTTAACTTAAGTTTAGTACAGCAATATTGGCAAACACTTTGAAGCTAAATAATGCATGGAAAGGTATTTTTTGTGTAGGTGAATAAACTTTTTGAAGGTCATTCGAGGCTTGACTGAGAATGCGTCAGTGGTTCCCATCTCTCTCTCTCTCTCTCTCTCTCTCTCTCTCTCTCTAAGGGTCTTGCAGAATAAAACTGAAAAATACTTGTGCTGTATCGGGGATGAGAAGATTGCATGTGAGAGCTTGAAATAACTCCCGCTGCACTGAATATGATGTGATCGCAGTAGGCTTGAACAGACCCCTTGCCATGTTGGGTACAAGAAGATCATACTAACTAGGTCGGCACTTTGCTATGTCCATCAAATAGCAATGCTATAACGTCAACAGAGTGGATTGCTCAGGAAAGGACTTTCCATCTACATTCAAAGGATTTATTATTATTATCTTTAGTCCTTATTTCTTATTTGTTGTTCTCTTTCTTCCAGTTAGATGCCTTTCCCCCACCCCTATGAAGGTGGTAAACAGGTAAGGTATTTATGATAGTAATAATTTAGAGTTGCCAAAATGCTACCAAGAAATGAAGAGCAATTGTCATTATTCCTACATGTTTAAACATGCATACAAATATATAATAAATTTAGCCTAAATTATGATCAAATGTTACCTCGGTTAAAGTGAGAATACTAGCAGAGTTGCCATGTTTATATGGAGAAAGTTTTCTCAAGTGGTTATCATTTGCCAACACCATGTACGCCAGGTTGCCGTCAGCAAAACACGACTTCTGATTCTTCTGGGAGTAGCTGTGGAGGGAGTAGCCAGGAGCGCAGGTGCACGTGTGGTTCCCATCCTTCTTCACATTGCACACCTGTGAACATTCTCCAAATCTGAAAAAATGAGTGCCAGATATATGCTTGTATTAGATATATGATTGCTAGATATATTCTATTATATAATATATATATATATATATATATATATATATATATATATATATATATATATATATATATACATACACATTTATTTATATTTATATATAAAACAGATACAAAAATAGATCTATTCAATGGAGAATAACCAGAGTGAAATAGGGGAAAGATAGCTCGAGAACTTTCACCTGTTCAAGGTATTCTAAACAGCTAGACTCATAGGGAGACAAAGGCAGCAGCAGTTATATTCAGAAAATCAGATTAAGATATAAATGCTAAAATTGTAACATTAAACAGTTTATTTTGACACATTCTTACATTAGTGAAACATACGGTAGTGGACTGACATTTGCAGACAATGATACCACAGTAATTAATTTGACCTGTGTTTTACCAGTGACAAGTTTCTAGAGTATGTTTTGCTCTTGGCTGCAGCTATGGGTAACCTAAAATAAAAACCTACCATTTTATGTAATGAAACTCTTCTTTCTGGGAGGGTGCCCTCAGTGGCTAGCTTCAGGAACCCACCAAGGGCACCCTCCCAGACTAAGAATGTTAGTAAACATTTGTCAGTGAACAAGGGCACATACCTGCAACCTTTAGGGCAATTCTCTTCATCACTGTCATCTACGCAGTCATCAAAACCATCACATAAACTCTCTTTCCCAATACAGTGGCCATTTTTACACTGGAACTGTCCTGGCCCACACACTTTTTTTCTCTGGCCTGAAAAGAAAAAGAATACATCAGCTTGAAGAAACTACACAGTACAGGATAATGCCCACATGCTGGAGGCTTTTATTAGGTAGTGTAAAGAGACACTCGCACATGTTTTAAAGAGGGACAGTTACTCTAAGTTAAGCCTCTACTATAAGACTGCCAATTTGTTGGTTAAGGACATAGGAATATGACTGCAACCACCTTCCATATATAAAGTTTTATTGTAAACAATGAGGGCAAGACTACAAATTACCATACACTTCAATCTGCTCATTATTTTAAGGAACCAAAATTCCTGAAGAATCCGTGGGTATCTCACTCACACGTGAGAAAGCATGTCTCAGTACTATCATATGGAATTCACATTTGTAACAATGTCAACCAAGGGCACAACCCAGATGGTCTAGAGGATAATGAAATATCATACGATGCAGTTACTACATCATGCTGAAGTTTTATGCAACATCACATTATCAGTCCCTGTGGTGCAGTGGTGATGCTCATACCATGGCTTGCGAGTGATTTTGACTGACATTGAGCCTTGGTGAAGAAGGGTCGACTAGAAACCGATCCTTAACTGCTCACCCCCTGCTCACCAGTAGTTATTGGGGACTTGCTTATAAAGTGAGTGGCAGCATGTGCTCCATGGAGTAGTAAGGTAAGGCAAGTAAGGAGAAGAAAGCTTCAAGAAAAGTAACATGAGTCAGAAGTCATCTACAGGTTGTGTTGCAGAAAAAACTTGTAGAGTAAGATGTAAGACGAGCTGTGGGAGGGGAAAAGTTCGAAGTCTGCTAGCAACGGTGCTCACACTGGCAACCAAGTTCATAAAATTACCCATAATGGTGAAGTCTCAAGAGGAGAAGACTTGAATCCTCTTGAGAATCCTCCGGAGCTACATCCACACAGCCGCGAACTCCCGCACTGTGCTGAGAGCCCGATGGAAGGAAGGGCCCCACCATCCCTGGGCAGTGCTCCCCCAGCCTGGTGAGCACTGGTCACAAAGCCCCAGCCCAGAGACGACGTGTCCATGAACACATCCAGTGAGGGCTCGGGTAGGCACCAAGGCACTGAATCCCCGAAAAACCAGAAGAGGAAGCCAGCAACACAGCAACCGATGCAACGCCCACGGAAGCCGAACCCAGTGGTCGTGAGAGAGGTGGAATGGACGTCCCTGAAGGAACCAGAACAGGCGACGAAGCTACACTCGACCCGGCGGGTAGACCATCATGGCAAAAGTTCAGGCTCCTGCACAAACCCTCAAACAACCGCCGTGTGATCCGGGAGCTCCTCAAAAACAGATGCAGGTGGGAACACAGCCGAACCAGTGCCACCGGAGGGAGAGACAGGGAAGCGGTCCGAGTGTCCCACACAAAACCCCCAGCCAAGACTGAACCTGAGAGGGAACCAGATAGGTCTTTCGCCAGTTCACAAGGAACCCAATCCCGGCGAGCTGGGAAAGAACCAAAATCCTGGCAAGCATACACAGAGACTGGCTGGGAGCCCACACCAACCAGTCGTCAAGGTAGGGTAGAACCTGAACTAACTGACGCAAGCGGGCCACCATGACCTGAGTACGGAGTGAGAAAACACAAGAAGCCAGATTCAAACCGAATGGAAGGCAATGAAAGCGGTAACTCTGATGCCCCACTACAAAACCGAGCCAGTTCCTGAACCTCGGATGAATCGGAACATGCCAGTACGCGTCCTTGAGGTCCAGGGACACCAAGTGTTCAGCTCCAACAGGAGACGAACCTGGGATAGAGTAGTCATCTGAAACGAGGGGCAATAAACCCATGGGTTCAGACCGGACAAGTCCAGAACGAACCTAAGGTCCGCGCAATCCTGTTTCAGGATTGGAAACATGTGGGAAACCCACATGAGGGATGAGGTCATTTCGACCACGCCCAAGCGAACCCACTCCAAGACGACCTGACAGGGCGCAGAAGAGGTCTGCCCCGCCAGCCCCAAACCCCCCGAACAAGGAGGGGCCACCCAACGCCACCACAGGCCGCATAAAATGATCCGAAACGCCCATAAATCGCGAGATCAGGCACGAGCAAACAGAGCAAGCCTTCCATCCCCCACCGCCCCATCAATGGGACGAACCACGAAAGAGCCGACGCACCTTACGAGCACCCAAGTGAAACACAGGATGATCACCCAATCAAACCGGTGCCGGTGCCAAATCTGGCACCAATGGCCTATCATGATGGGAAGAACCCCGAGCCCTGGCAGAACCCTGCCATGAAGGCCCCTCACGAGCCCCCCGGAGGACCAACAAATCCAACATAGGACGTTAACTGGCAGAAGCAGCCTGTAGATACTGCACAATCTGCTTTTGTCCGTTGCTGTTTGCAGACTCTGCAAACAGCAATGGACAAAAGGGCGAAGACAGCTTAAGAGCCAGTGCCCATGCAGATTCCAAGGAAGAAGCGAGCATCACCAGCCAACACGCGAGCTGAGAAGCAAAAAATTGCGAAACCGCATCCCGCAGGAGCGGCGGGAACAGCTTCAACAATGCAGATGATAAACGCACCACCGAGGGCAAAGCACCAGACCCAGAGGCAGCTCTAAGCACCTCCACATCCACCTCAAGCCAGTTCGAGGACAGCTCAAGGAGGGAGAAGAAACGCAGGGCCAGGGGCCAACAAGCCACGCGTGGGTAAATCTTCAGCGACCAATGCAGCCAAAAAGGAAGGACCCTTCACATGAAGCTGCATCACACCAACATCCCACAGAAGGGCAGGGGCAAACAAGCATGCATTGAGATGCTCAAATTTGCCCCCCCCCCCCCAGGAAAACCTGCAACACCGTGTGAGCCTCCCTCCACTCAAGCGTGCGGGATCGACAGAATGTATGCCAAGCTTCCAACGAAAGAAGTAGGCAGTTTGCTAACCAGGAAAACTCCAGAACTTCATATCAAACCCATTTGGGCATGAAGATCCACACACAAAGGAACACGGATCCATTACAAAAGCATAATCCGGGTCGCGCAAGAGGTAAGCCACAAGGGCTTCACGCCCTTGGGACGAGAAGCAGGAAACCGAAAACTTCCAGAAGGACAGACCCAAAGAACCGACGGAATCACAGAACTGAACCCGGGGAGGGGTAGACGCCAAATCCAATTCGTACAATGAGGGAGCGATAGCGAACCTCTCTCCTCGTAACACCAAGCCCCGCTCAGAGGGTACAAAAACCCTGGCGGGGTCCAATGAGGCTCCAGGCCCCCCCAAGTCAATCCCTCCACCACCCCAGGAACCTCACCCCGAAGACTGGGCACAGAAGTCCTCCAACCCCCCCCCCCCTCCCCTCTAAAGAAAAGGCAGGAATGAAGGGGGCACATTGGTCAGACCCAGAAGTACGACCTGGAGTTCCAGGCTCGAATGCCTTCACCGCTAGTCCCCAAGACGTTTTGGAGCCGGAAGCAAGGGGGAAGGAATCAGAAGAACAACCATAGGGAAAGAACAAGGAGGGGTGGACAAAATCAAAGTCGAGGCAACTCCCACCCCAAAGTCCGGATCCCTAAAACCAAAATGGGAAGTCTCGAGGCATCCGGGGAAGCAATCAACCTATCGTGTTGCAGCAACCTAAACCGAGCATGCAAAGCTTCAGCCTCCTGCACCCACATGTCATGATCAGTAGCTCGGGTGAACTGGAGAACGTACAAACAACAAACGTCGCACGACTCCGGGTCAAAAGAATCACCGACCCTACAGGCAGCATGGCGAAGGCACAACCTGTGATTGTCACCCTGAGACAATGGGACAGAGCAACAGTCAATCTCGCACGAAGCAAGAAGGGACTCGGGGGTCGCATCCATTGAACCAAGGAGCCCCTGCAGGGTTTCCCAGGCTCTTAGCCTAGGTAACATGTTAAGGAAAGCCCAGGAAGGGTACAGCTAACTGGCATCCCAAAACTACCAAGCAAACTACTAAAAGCTGCACCCCCGGGACGTGTACACTTGCGGGGAGTCTAGCAGAGGACCACCAAGAACAATAAGGTATGACCAACCAAGAGGTAGACCCTCCAATAGGTTGAGAAAAAAGAAAAAGAAAACCACATAAGAGGACAACGTGCCCAGGTGGAACAGAGCCGGCTGCTATGAGAGGTGATAAACTGTGCTGAACCGTGCACCCCTACCAGTGACGAAAATGGCCCCATACCCAGAGGCAAACGGGCAAACAAAAACCCTAGCTGACTCCAAGGGAAGTGTATCAACGAGCAGTAAAAGGTAAAGCGGAGGTAGACCCCAAGGTAACTTGTGGAAGGTGGCCCCCAAGCCCCAAGGGCAGTACTTACAGGGCACCTAGGGAAGGAAACCCTAGGCACATGCAACCCAAGTACAGTACTTGAAGAATATTACTCCTGGCTCGAACACCAACTGTAGAGACAGGACCACGCCACAAGGCATAGAAACAGACAAAATCTGGAGCCAGAGGAACACGACTTTGCCAGCAACACATCAGCCAAATAGAGCTGAGGGTGTGGATCGCCGGAGCGAGGGTCTGGGGCTCCCCCCTTCTCTTTCCCGGGGAGGGGGTGGTTGTATAGACAGCGGCACAGCAGCGTTATGACGTCATGCTTGCTTCTTAATTTTCATTTGGGGTGACCTAGGGTGCCAGGGACCCCCCTGGGGTGACCTAGGGTGCCAGGGACCCCCCTGGGGTGACCTAGGGTGCCAGGGACCCCCCCTGGGGTGACCTAGGGTGCCAGGGACCCCCTGAGGTAACCTGGGATGCCAGGGACCCCCCTGGGGTGACCTAGGGTGCCAAGGACCCCCCTGGGGTGACCTAGGGTACCAGGAACCCCCTGGGGTGACCTAGGGTGCCAGGGACACCCCCTGGGGTGACTTAGGGTACCAGGGACCCCCCTGGGGTGACCTAGGGTGCCAGGGACCCACCCTGGGGTGACCTAGGGTGCCAGGGACCCCCTGGGGTGACCTAGGGTGCCAGGGACCCCCCTGGGGTGACCTAGGGTGCCAGGGACCCCCTGGGGTGACCTAGGGTGCCAGGGACCCTCCTGGGATGACCTAGGGTGCCAGGGAGGGTAGGTGCCAGGGACCCCCCCCTTGGGTGACCTAGGGTGCCAGGGACCCCCTGGGGTGACCTAGGGTGCCAGGGACCCCCCTGGGATGACCTAGGGTGCCAGGGAGGGAGGGTGGCTGGGACCCCCCCCCTGGGGTGACCTAGGGTGCCAGGGACCCCCCTGGGGTGACCTAGGGTGCCAGGGACCCCCCTGGGGTGACCTAGGGTGCCAGGGACCCCCCTGGGGTGACCTAGGGCACCAGGGACCCCCCCCAGGGTGACTTAGGGTGCCAGGGAGGGTAGGTAGGTGGCTGGGACCCCCCTGGGGTGACCTAGGGTGCCAGGGACCCCCCTGGGGTGACCTAGGGTGCCAGGGACCCCCCTGGGGTGACCTAGGGTACCAGGGACCCCCCCTGGGGTGACCTAGGGTGCCAGGGACCCCCCTGGGGTGACCTAGGGTGCCAGGGACCCCCCCAGGTGACTTAGGGTGCCAGGGAGGGTAGGTAGGTGGCTGGGACCCCCCTGGGGTGACCTAGGGTGCCAGGGACCCCCCCTGGGGTGACCTAGGGTGCCAGGGACCCCCCTGGGGTGACCTAGGGTGCCAGGGACCCCCCTGGGGTGACCTAGGGTGCCAGGGACCCCCCTGGGGTGACCTAGGGTGCCAGGGAGGGTAGGTAGGTGGCTAGGACCCCCCCCCCCTGAGGTGATCCAATGGTGCCATAGATCACCCATAGATTTCGAGTCACTGCAAAGTTCTTCATGCCAAAAATAACCATGGGGTCAAGAATGACCTTGCAACATTTCCAAGCTCGTAAACTCTTTAATAAATACAGACTAAGCCACCATGATTGAGGAAACATGTATAGGTTTGATAAGTGGATATGAAGATGCTTGATGATATCTGGCTCGGTTTTCCTAAAAATATCCTTCGACATTATTAAGATGAGATCAAGAGAAAATGGTACTCGTTTTGCAGGTGGACGCTGCTAATACTTACACAGCTCCGGAGCTTCATCTGAGGCATCGTGACAGTGGTCTTCACCATCACACACGTGGCCCTCCATAATGCACACGTTATTTTTGCACCTAGGAAAACACAAAAATTTAAATGTTGTAAATTTCAAGCCTTAAATCAGTATAATCCAGTTTCCTTCATAAAAAAAAGCTTCCAGTTCTAAACTGGCATATACATGTTCCACTTAATCTTAGGCTTCCCTATTCTAAATCAGTATAAAATGGAGTTTTAAAATTAGAGGCCTTCTGAAATTTGTATCAGAATAAACCTGATCCATTTTGCTTCATTAACCCCTAAAGCTTTCCTGTTCTCAGCATAAGCTTACACTGTCTACCCCTCATACCATCCTAGTGTAGCGTGGCACATACCTAAATTTGCCTGCAGAGCACGAACGATTGGCACACTGTTCCTTGCTTTCATCGCTGCCATCTGCACAATCATTCTCACCATCGCAAACCCACGAGTCAAAGACGCACGTGCCATTATCACAACGGGTGAATCCGGGGCCACAAGTGCTGCTGCAGTTGCGCTCGTCCGATTCGTCGCCACAGTCGGGATCCTTATCACACACCCAGTCTCTGTGCACCAAGTTATCATTAGTAATTAATTATATAAATTACAAAGTATTATATAATACACAGCATGTTTAGTAGGTAAGTGTAATGTGCAATACACCTTCACAGGGATGTATGTTATATATACAAAGCCTGTAACACCATAAAGGTGTTTAGTTTTTATTTATTTAATATTTCACAGAGTACGAGAGTCAACCGAGACAGGATTTTGAGAGGCACCAGGTTGGCGGCCCCTAGTAATTAAGAAAGTCACACCAAGAAGTGTTAATGACCACAAGTCAACCTGTGGTCAGCTCGTGCGATTTCACCTTGCTTCTGCTAAACCGATAATAGCCAACGGTTGGTAGTGTCGTTCCATCAAACAAGCCGCCGTTTAAGGTGGGGCCTTGGTAGAGGGCCTGGAGCTATCTACTTGTGGGCAGAGTTAGCTACTAGGTTCCCAATAAATACCCAGGGAACTGTAGATTCGAGAGGACAGGAGACAGCACAACAGGAGCAGAGCAGAGTAGAGCAGTGAGCAACAGACAGTCCAGGCTGTTCGGCTGGGTGGGGACTCCCCCTGTCAACCCCTCCACCCCCTCTCTATCCTAATTAGGCTCAGTCTTCCGTGAGTTAAACGTGAAGGTGACTTAGTCATGTTTACTAAAGTATTGTGTGATTATCTTGGGGCAGACGGTTGTTATGGTTCTCAAATTCTTGTGTAATGACTCACTTTGTATATTAATCTTGAACAGTAAGCTGAATTGCTTAAATTATGATACTTATGTAAAATATAATTGATGAATTTATTGTTTAAATTGTCTAACTTTGTTCCCTAGAGCTTTGAGAGTTGAGGCGAGAGAGCCTTTGCGGTTACTGATTTGATGATTTTAATATATACATGTTTAGAGTTGATACATGAACTCCTTGGATAATTTTGTGATACAGACAAATTCCATTCCTTGTCTTGTAAGTACTGAGTTAGAATGGATGGTGGCAGAACTTTGTACTACTTATCTACCCTTCTACCTCTACCACTACCTCTACTCATTCTCCGTACTCACTCACTCTCTCTCCTCTCTTCCACTTTCCCTTTCAACTGACGACACTCCACGCTCCTCCCACCTCTCACCCCGAACCCTCACTCATTACTTCATTATTCAGTTCTTTCCTTTCATTTCTCTTATATGTTCGTGGCAGTGAAATGTTCTAGAGTTCTCTTAGAGTTGCGGGTAGCTGATCAAGGTACAATGCCTTGCAGGCATAGCACCTAGGTAATCAATTACCTAGGTTACAAGGTGTTGAATTAGAGAGGTTGCAGTAGGAACTCTTGGGGGAACTATAGAATAGTTAACTAGGGACGGGATAATGGACAAAAAGAGCCAATTTCACCCCCCCCCTGTTACAAGGCCACAGGGGTGCATGTTACACACAAAGCTCACAGGGGTGTCTGTTACACACACAGCTCACAGGGTGCATGTTATACACACACAGCTCACAGGGTGCATGTTATACACACACAGCTCACAGGGGTGCATGTTATACACACACAGCTCACAGGGGTGCATGTTATACACACAGCTCACAGGAGTGCATGTTATACACACAGCTCACAGGGGTGCATGTTATACACACACAGCTCACAGGGTGCATGTTATACACACACAGCTCACAGGGTGCATGTTATACACACACAGCTCACAGGGGTGCATGTTATACACACACAGCTCACAGGGTGCATGTTATACACACACAGCTCACAGGGTGCATGTTATACACACACAGCTCACAGGGTGCATGTTATACACACACAGCTCACAGGGGTGCATGTTATACACACACAGCTCACAGGGTGCATGTTATACACACACAGCTCACAGGAGTGCATGTTATACACACACAGCTCACAGGGTGATTGTTATACACACACAACTCACAGGGTGCATGTTATACACACACAGCTCACAGGGTGCATGTTATACACACACAGCTCACAGGGGTGCATGTTATACACACACAGCTCACAGGGGTGCATGTTATACACACACAGCTCACAGGGTGATTGTTATACACACACAGCTCACAGGGTGCATGTTATACACACACAGCTCACAGGGTGCATGTTATACACACACAGCTCACAGGGTGCATGTTATACACACACAGCTCACAGGGGTGCATGTTATACACACATAGCTCACAGGGGTGCATGTTATACACACACAGCTCACAGGGTGATTGTTATACACACACAGCTCACAGGGTGCATGTTATACACACACAGCTCACAGGGTGCATGTTATACACACACAGCTCACAGGGGTGCATGTTATACACACACAGCTCACAGGGTGCATGTTATACACACACAGCTCACAGGAGTGCATGTTATACACACACAGCTCACAGGGGTGCATGTTATACACACACAGCTCACAGGAGTGCATAAAACACCCACACAGCTAAACATTCCATAAAACATTAATACTGATGTTTAAAACCATAAAACATGGTAGCAGACATAAATGAAAATAATAATCATGAAAAATATAAGATCATGAGAACATTAGACTTAGGGAAACCGCTAAAAAGCTTATTGGCCCATCTGAGGCAGCTCCTGTTCGTCTCCACCCAAACTCATGAATATGAGTCTGGGTGGAGACGACCCAACTCTACTCTTGTAACAATCCATTGATCCCGGGTCTATTTTGTATGATTAGCTAAATTTTAACAAGTGCATCTCCTTAAACCATCTTGCTCTACTTGTCGTATGGTTGAACCGAACATGAAGGCAAGGGAACTATCATGATAAGCTGTCAAGCCATTACAATTTATAGAACTGGGAAGGGATCAGGATAAGGATATGGGATGGGATGGGATGGGGGGAGGAATGGTGCCCATCCATTTGCACGGTCGGTGACTTGAACGCCGAACTACGTGAAGTGAGACTGTCCCTTTCATCCATCCCAAATAAGCATGAAGCGTGGAGTTTGAAGCAAAAGGTAAAGTGGGAAGCTACAAAACACAATCTGTATATTGATCTACAGAACAATAATTTATCAGCATCACTGGAAAATAAGGTAAATGCCACAGGCTGTGAGAAAGTAAGATACATGACCTAACTTACTTTAAAATGCACTGAGGAATCGTTTCACATTTGAACATGGTCTCGCCACAATGCTTTTCACACTTGGCTTCGTCACTGCCATCTGCACAATTTGTTGAACCATCACAGAGATATTTCTTGGCAATGCATCTATAAATAAACAAGACATGATTAATTTTGTCGTGTCCGTGAAAGACACACAATTTTGTGTATGTGAAGTGGAAACAAAACTACATAGAAAATTAATATGAAGTCAGAGACAGTGGTCTATTCCCTCATCTTAGAATTAAGGGACCTGGGTTCAATCCCCATTTAGAAATGGTTTGGCACATCTCCTTTCACCTGATGCCTCTGTTCACTTAGCAGTAAATCGGTGCCCAGAAGTTAGTCAACAGTTGTGGGTTGCATCCTGGAAAACGTCAGTCATTGGCCTAAGTACAAGCTTCCTGTCCCTGACAATAGGAATTAGAATTATACTGCTCAAGTGTCATAGTGATATATATACAAGGTGGTTGGGGAGTCACTGGAGATAGTTCCAGCCAACAAGAATAAGACATTCAAATTCACTTCTCAAAAGCACAAGCTCCTTCAGAACTATCAGTGAAGTCACACATATGACTGACAATATGAACCCTGGATTAATTTAGTCAGATAATAACAAACGAGCTTCCACCACCTCTCTCCCACCAGGTGGCAGCACTTACTCTACAAGAGGGTATACTGATTCATACGCTCCTCATGTGTGACTAACAGTAATGATAGGCCTTTCTTTTCTTAACATATCAGATTGTACAAATATATATAGAAAAATCTCATGATCTGTACATATGCACTCATAGTAGGTCCGTAGACAGCACAGAACACAGCCACAAACTCTGAATAATTTGTAGGACAATATAAGTACTGTACTGTAAAACAAATCACATTAAAATATTATTATTTCAAATAATATTTAATAATCAAAACCCAAAAACAGCAAAACTAGAAATAAAAAAAAATCATCATTGAATGTAAAGAATGCTCCCTTCCCACTTTCTGGTGGGAAGGGAGCCCTTCCATGGCCAGCAATCTGCTGAACATTACTATACAATATGAACATGTGCAGGCGATGAGTCACAATAACGTGGCTGAAGATATGATGACCAATGTTGACCAGAACACACACTAGAAAGTGTAGAGACCACCACATTTAGGTCCATCCTGGACTGTTCTCAAGTTGATTGTGACTCGAGTCACAATCGACTTGAGAATGGTACAGGACGGACTGAAACGTCGTCGTTCCTTCACTTTCTAGTGTATTATGGTCAACATACTTCAACCACGTTATTGTGACTCATCGCCTGCATATGATGACCAAACCACACACCCAAAGATGAGGAGATGACGATGTTTCGGTCCGCCTTGGTCCATTATCAAATCGACTGTCATGATACTTGACCAACAATATGAACACCTTTTACTGCAACCACTCCAAAATTTGCAACTCTAATTAAATTTAAATTTTGAGGGGTGGTGGTCCAGTAGCAAAATTGGTCTAATGCCTAGAGGAATCTTATTTTTATAGATCCATGTTTTGAAGGTACAGTACTACTGTAGTGGTCATTTAGGGCATCAATGAAAATTTTTCAGTGACATGGAACCTCAAGTGCCATGCCAGAGACTAGTGCAAAAGCTGGAGATGCAGGCAGGAGTAAAAGGGAAGGTACTCCATTGGATAAGGGAATACCTAAGTAACAAAAGGCAGCAAGTCACTGTGCGGGGTGAGGTCTCAGATTGGCGAGATGTCACCAGTTGGGTCCTACAGGGTTCAGTCCTTGGACCCATACTGTTTCTTATATATGTAAATGATCTTCCAGATGGTATAAAATCATTCCTGTCATTGCTGATAATGCAAAAATTATGAGGAGGATTAAGATGGAGGAAGACAGTATGAGACTACAAGATGACCTAGACAAACTGCATGAATGGTCCAACAAATGGCCACTAAATTTCAACCCGAGTAAATGTAAGGTAATGAAACTAGGCAGTGAAAACAGGAGGCCAGACACAGGATACAGAATGGGAGATGAAGTCCTTCATGAAACGGACAGAGAGAAGTATCTAGGAGTCGATATCCCACCAACCCTGTCTCCTGAAGCCCACATCAAAAGAATAACATCTGTAGCGTATGCGAGGCTGGCTAACATCAGAACTGCCTTCAGGAACCTGTGTAAGGAATCATTCAGAACCTTGTATACCACATATGCAAGACCACTCCTGGAGTATGCGGCCCCAGCATGGAGCACGTACCTTGTTAAGCACAAGGCGAAACTTGAAAAAGTTCAGAGATATGCCACTAGGCTAGTCCCAGAACTAAGAGGCATGAGTTACGAAGAAAGGCTGCAAGAAATGCACCTCACAACACTAGAAGACAGGAGAGTAAGGGGAGACATGATCACTACCTACAAAATTCTCAGAGGAATTGAGAGGGTAGATAAAGATACTGTTTAACACGGGTAGTACGCGAACAAGGGGACAAGTGGAAACCGAGTACCGAAATGAGCCACAGGGACGTTAGAAAGAACTTTTTCAATGTCAGAGTAGTTAACAGATGGAATGCATTAGGCAGTGATGTGGTGGAGGCTGACTCCATACACAGTTTCAAATGTAGATATGATAGAGACCAGTAGGCTCAGGAACCTGTACGTCAGTTGACTGACAGTTAAGAAGCGGGACCAAAGAGCCAGAGCTCAACCCCTGCAAGCACAATTAGGTGAGTACTGGGGTTGGGTAACCGGCACCGGAGGTCTGGCAACCCCCCTACCCCCTACCGCGGAGAAGGGAGCTGCGCAGACAGCGGCGCGGCGGCTGTGGTGACATGCTCATTTCCTTGTTTTCTGATTGGAGAGTTCTGCTTGCTCATTCGACTTTCGGATTGCAATTTTTAACCAGCTGTAGTTTATTTTGGGATTCCTACTCTTCTGGGTGCCTGACCTGGTAGATGGCAGACAGACTACTTCCAACTACACGGGGGTTTCTATAGGCCATTTCTCCTCGTGCCTCACTGAGGGGGCCAGGTTTTGGCACATGGTCCCCGGGAGGCATAGAACTCCAATGATTGACTCTTGCCACGGTCTAATATATACACATCTCTGTCTAATGTACATGTACACATCAGCCCCATATAGCACCAGGGAGCCGAATGGGCTCTCTACAGAAATTAATTATAAAGCATTGAAAATGCATTGAAAAAATAAATGTAAATATTTTTATGGCAACTCCTGAGTCTTGAATGGCCCGTGCGACAGTTGTTATTTTTTTACATGTACATGTTCAGATTTACAAAGGCAAAACTTGGGGGAACACCATTATTGGCGCACCACCAAAATGTCACAATAAATGTACCGCATCACAGAGGTTAAACATTAAAATAACAGTAATCACCTGTAAATGTTCAAGTACCTGGACACATTTCATTGTACCAAGTCCAGCTGGAATATGTCAACTTTGAAGCTATTCAACCACTTCTTTATTAGAAGTAAAAACACTGAGGAAGAATTTATTCATGTTAAAATATGAAATGACTTCATAACCATTTATTGTGTGTGTGATGATGGTCACGGTGTGATGATGGTCACGGTGTGATGATGGTCACGGTGTGATGATGGTCACGGTGTGATGATGGTCACGGTGCTGGTGACAGTTTGGGTGATTAGTGAGTAGTTGTTCTGGACTTAGATATAGAAGCTTTATTTGCAAGTGATTTTATACTAATCAATACAGTTATGATTAGTCAAGAGATTTACATCTGTTCACAATTAGAGTGCGGATACCTATAATTTGGATGAGAAAACACATGGCTGATTACGTGTGCATAAACTCATGAGCAGTACTGTATAATGAAGTAAAAGCAATATAGAAGTACAAACCTGCCATCATCGCAGCGAAATTCACTCTCGCTACAATTTCTCTCGGGACATCCTGTTTCGTCAGATGCATCTATGCAATCATTTTCGCCGTCACATTTCCAGCGCTTAGGAATACACCTGAAAATGTATGTACATTCGTTAAAAGGAATCCATTCTGTAGAGTACAGGAAAAATTAACTCAGCACATGTATATGAAATTAAAATCAAGTCTGTTTTGGTCTATCCTGGATCTTTATCATGTCATGATATGAATATGAGATTTCCCTTTAATTACAACAATGTTCCCAACTGCTTCCCATTCTCTCTCAGTAAATTATGGCTACAATCTTATACTGTACTTAAAAGATTACCACAGAACAAAGTTTCTAAATCTAACTCTGAATCTAAATTATAGAGTACATAATTCTAATGATTACATGTTATGTTAGCATTATCATGTAAATAATTTACTGATATTTATGTCAAGCTCAATTATTAATGCACAATTATTTATGAATATAGATTTTATATACATTAGGTAAATTTAAATAACACAAAATTGTATTTTCAGGAAAACAATACTGTAACTAATTTTTGTAATGCAAATCCTACATACTTCATACTGTCACACTTGAACTGTGAATCATCGCAAGTGTGTGTCTGGAAGCAGTCTTCACCTTCATCCTCTCTGCCGGGGCAATCAAACTCCCCGTCGCACTTCCAGGAACGAGGGATGCAGCGGCCATTTTTGCACCTGTTAAGATAAATTAATTTTCCTGGTAACACTGGTCAATAATTTTTCAAAAGTTGTCTGCTCTTGAGATAAATAGAGCTATTTACCATGCATTTTGGTGTGCTGAATTCAAATATGAAAATTAAATTGCAGGTTAGATATTGTTTTATTAGTATGGATGGTAACAAAATCTTGCTTTTCTTTGAGAAGGCTCTTCGGCTCCCTGGAGGTATCGGAGTAATATGCGATATATTAGACTAGGACACGAGTCAATGGAGTTCAGCCTATCGGGGACCACAAGCCAGAACATTTGCCCCCCTCAGAGAGGCACAGGGAGCAATGGTCTTAGAAAACCCCTCTGTGGTAGGGGACTTTCCTAATCTGTCATCGACCGAGGTTAGGCACTCGGAAAGGTAGGCATAACAAAACAGACCCTGCATGGTAAGAAAATTACAATGGAAAACTGAACAGAGAGGAAGAACTCCCCCAATTCCCAAGGAAACAAGCAGACATCACACACCGCCGCTGAGGCACTCATCCACACGCTTGAATGGCGAAAAACTTCTACCGTTCTGCAGGTTTACCTTGGGGGTGAGAGTTTGAGCACTTTAATGCTTGGTTATTTGCCCTTGTGCTTTCTCGTGATGTTGGCCTTGTGCAGTTTAATGTGCAGGTTCCAACCCTTTTGCAATTTTTCATTACCGAGGATTTGCATGCCCGTGGGCATTTGGCTACAGTCTTTCACTTCTTTTCCCAACTTGAGCTGTCCTCGGCCTGGCTTGAAGAGGATATGGAGACATTGAGTGCCGGCCCTTCGTCTAGTGCGACAGCCTCTATAGCAAGAGTGTCGTCCGCGCTGTTGAAGATGTTTGCACCGATTCTCAAGGAGGCAGTGTCTGCTCTGTGCTTCTTGCCTCACATGCCAACAGGCTGTACTCGCTGTTTCTTTAGAATCCGCCTGAGCCCTGGCTCTTAGGTTTCCTTTTGTTGTTTTGTCCATTGCTACTTGCGGAAACTGCTGTCGCAGTTTCTTCAAGCAGCTTCATCCAGTTGTCCACCACACTTTCGTTAGGGTGGGCCATTGGTGCCACTTTCTGAGCCGGCACTTCCTTCGGAGCCAGCGTCATCTGGTCAATGCAATGAGTGTTCTGCTTGTCGGCAGGGTTCTTGTAAGGGGCGTTGGCCCTTTCGCAGGTTGTCCAGTTTATGGAGGGGGAGGCTCATGCTGTTTGCTCATGCCTGGTCCCACGATTTGTGGGTATCTCCTCTGGTCTGTGGCGACGGAGAAGTCGTCCAACTTCAGAGGGGAGGGGTTGGATCTGCCGGGGCAGGCTTCTTCCCCTGTGCTCAGTCAGGTAATCTCGGAGTAAGTGCACTTGGGTGTCCGACCCAGGGTGTTTTCCTCGGCTCCGCCATTTCCAGCGGGTCAGACCTGTCCAGTACACGGCTGGTTTGGTCTCCTCTGCTCTTCGCATCTGGTCTCTTTGACGCGGGTTTATCACCATTTGTATGGTGATCAGGTGGCTTTGTTGATGGTGTCCCACCCGAGAGCTTCGTCTCGGCAACAGTATGAAGTTTCCTGGTGTTCTTTCTGCCATTTTCTCTCTCTTCGTAGGTTGTCTTCTATTTCCTGTCAGGTTGTCTTGCCCTTTCTTTCTCGGCTTTTTCAGAACAGTCATTTAATGCCTAATACTGTTGCCTCGTATCGTGTGGCACTGGTGAAGCCGCTCCAGCTCGCATTCGGGGTGGATGTCACTTTTGCCCCGTTCTGTAAGCGTTCTCCTGCTTTGTTTCACCTCCGGTCTACTCGTGCACTGCCTATGCCGTCCTGGTCATCAGACAGGGTGCTCTCCTATCTCTCTCCTCTCCTTGGTTAGTGGTGGCCCTTTTGGTCCAAAAGTTTTTCCAAGGCTCTCTTTCTGTTGGCACTGGCCTCTGGGGGTTGGCTTGGCAAGATTCATGCTCTCCTCCGGGATAGGGGTTTCTGCTAGTTCGGTCCTGGTCAGCAGTTTGTTCATTTGCAGCCTTTTCTGGAGAAGAATGAGATGACTGCTTTCCGGAGAGGTCCTTGGGTCATTGATGCTTAGTTGGTCAGGCCGGGGGTGCATCATGTGTTGTGTTCGGTTGCGGCACTTTGCCATTATCTGCGCGCCTCGGCTTCTGTGGCAAGAGATGCACTTTGGGTTGAACCAGTTTTCCTTGTTCCCTGTTCCAAGGCTTGGGTCTTCCAGGTTGTCCGAAGGGTTATTAAGTCTACCCAGCCTGTGGCTTATCCTCGAGACCATGACATTCGAAAGTTTGATGCTAACTGCTGCCAGGACCCGAACAGGGTCCTGGCCACACATTATTTGGTAAACATTCCTGGTCCTGGGCGCTCGTGTATTGCTTTGGGTTCCTCAACTCGATTTCAAGTTGAGGAACGAGTGGCAGCCGCCTCCTGGGTATGTTCCTCTTTTTCTTATCTTTGGTTAGATAGCTCCAGGGAGCCGAAGGGGCTCCCCACAGAAAACCAGCATTGAATGTAATGAAATACCATTTTCTGGGTGCAACTTGGAGGCTTCCTAGAGCTATCCAGTCTGCTATGTATCTATTAGCATTCTGGCATCATTCAAAGTGCATGGAGTTCTTGCCTACCGGGTACCACGAGCCAGAACCTGGCCACCTCAAGCGTGGTACGAGGAGCAATGGCCTATAGAAACCCTGTGTGGTTGGGAGCATTCTATGTCTGCCATCTGCCTGGTCTGGTACCCAGAAAGGTAAGCGCCTCAAAACAAACCCCCTATTCTGGTGAAAATATTGCTATCAAAAGCCAAACAAGTGGACAGAACTTCCCAAATGAAAATTAGCAAATGAGCATGCCGTCGTCATGTTGCCACGCCGCTGTCTGCGCAATTCCCCCCCCCCCCCCCCTCCCCGGGAGATGGAAAAGGGAACCCCAGACCCTCGCGCCAGAAATCCAACTGGCAGTTCTTTGGCTGGATGTCAAAAACATGCGAAAAACACCGCCAACTGGAGAGAGGGAGGGATGCTGGGGAGCCTCCAGGTTTCACCCAGAAAATGGCATTTCATTACATTCAATTCTGGTTTTCTGTGGTGAGCTCCAGTTTTCTACCGGGGAGCTCCGGTAGCTCCCTGGTAGAAAAGATAAGGAAAAAGAGAGAAGGGTCCAGAGGCAGATGCCACGCACCCTAAACTCAAAATCAAGACAACCGGCAAAACCAAAGAACCCTGAGGACGACCCAGAAGACCCGAACCCTGAAACAGGAAGGAAAGAAGGGAACCTGGGCAACCCAAAGCACATCCACGGCCACAGAGGCCATAACGCACAGATCACAGCGGAGAGCCGCAACTGAACTACACATGATGCACCCCAGGCCTGACCAACCAAGTATCAACAACTCATAGACCTCTCCGGACAGCAGCAGACCCAAACAACACCAGAAAAGAAGGAGACGGCTGCAAACGAACAAATCTACCACCAGGACCAAACTAGCAGAAAAACCCTTGCATCATTGGAGAGCATGAAGCTTCCCAACCCGACCCCCCAGAGGCCAATGCCAACAGGAAAGAGAGAGCTGTAGAAAAAACAATCCTGAACCGAAGGGCCCATGACAAACCGAGGAGGAGAGAGAAAAGAGCACCCGGTCCAACGACCAGGACAGCTCAGGAGACGGACGAGCAGGCCAGAGGCGAAACAACGTCCGAGACATCTTGCGGAACGGACCGGAAGTAACATCAATACCAAATGCAAGCTGCAGTGGCTCCGCCAGTGCTGCACGATATAAGTACAGTGGTACCTCGGGTTACGAACGTCCCTGTTCACAAACTTTTCGGGTTATGAGCCCAATTTGTTCGGAAAATTTGAATTGGGATACGAGTTTGTTGATAGGCGTACAGTCGACCTAGTGTGCGGTGGCACGGCGATCGCGCCTCAGTTTACCAGTGCCTTGCACCCAGTGACTATCCCGCCTGAATTCTTCACAAGAATTTACAGTTTTTTGTCAGATTTTTGGCCATTTGAGCATAAAAGTTGTTATTATATATTTTGCCATGGGTCCCAAGAAAGCCAGTGGTAAGGTTCAACCCAAGAAAATAGTTGTGAGTAGAGGCAGTAGAGGATATCCCTTCCTCATTAAGAAAATGCGTGAAGTATGGGAAGAACTGCAAAGTTTTGTTGAAAAACTAACCCAGATAAAGCTGTAGCAGGCCGTTGCATTGACCTTTTAAATGACAATGTGATGTCTTACTACAGACAAGTGTTCAAATGTAGGGAAAAACAAGTGTCTTTTGACAGATTCTTAGTAAGACAAGCAAGCAGTGAGCCACAAGCAGGTCCTAGTGGTATGCAGGCAAAACGTGCCAGAGAGTGCACCCCAGAAAAGTTATCACTGCCTGATGTTATAATGGAAGGGGATTGCCCTTCCAAACAGTAACACCTCTCCCCCTCCCCCCTTCTCACCATCTTCCATGCGCCAACAGGAGTCCCCAGCAAAGGTAAGTAATAACTTGAACATACTTTTGTAGTTAAGATATGGGTGAATTAGGTATAAAATTTAGATTGAAGTGAAGTTTTTGGGGAGTCAGGAACGGATTAATTCATTTCCCATTATTTTTTATGGGGAAATTCGCTTCGGTTTATGAATTTTCGGGTTTCGAACTGTCTCCAGGAAAGGATTAAATTCTTAAACCGAGGTACCCCTGTATTTGGCATAAGATGACGGTTCTGGAACAACCACGAAAGGAAGGACAAGTGTTATGACCATAGCCTAGTATCACGAATATTGTAATTATCATCTAATCTTCTTTGACAGTATATTGTTATTAATTTGTGTATTGTCAATATATGTCATACTTAACCAAGTCAAATATATTTCTGTATCAAAGTTGTATGCCATGTAATTGTGGATATATATTAGAAGTCTAGTGTATAGCAGTAGCCTAATGTCATGTTAGCTTGAAAAACATCCTTGTGTGCTTATTGTATGTAATGCTACATAAATGCTGTATAGGTAACATTATGTGGACCATGATGGAGAATGTATACATTTAGGTCTTGGATGTATTATTCACATGTATACTGTGTAATTGCCATTTCATTGTTGTTTCCTGCATTGTCCTCTTGTTATGAAATTTACTGAAATTATGGTACTGTACTGTGAAATGTATACCACCCAGACAAGCTTTTGATACACATGGTGTATATATCTACTTTATTTTGGTATTCCTTTATACATATGTATTAACGGTTGGCCGATGTCTTGAATCCTCCCTTAATCCTCCCCTCTTCCCCCTTTGAAGTACCATCTCGCGCCAGTGTTACCATGTCTGACCAATACGAATTCTTTGTGTACATATTTTTATATCATGATAAATTCTTTAATGTACTGAATTCTTATTATGTATTATTATGTAAGGTTGTGTCTTATAATCATTACTTTGTTGTATATTAAATTAGAAGTTCATGATCGAGTTATGTCTGTAAATGAGCTTGAGGTTATTTGAAAGTTGAGGGTTAGTTGACTCATGGAGGTGGATACAGTGTCGTCCACCCCGGCCAGCTTGGCTAAGGGCAGTCAATACTCTCTGACCATCCCAGGCGAGCGCATCTGTGGCATCTCTGTCCGGGATTTGTAACCTTATTTCTGTACTGTGACATCGAGATTAACTGTCATGTAACAGTGTTTATACCATGGATCATTTTCTACTGTTGTTCATCATGTATACTGGGTGGTAGAGGTTTTTATGTGCCTTTGTGAGGTAATATTCTGAGAAACTTAAGTAATGTCATTGTGCTGTAGGTGATATTGTTTCCTCATACCTCATGTGTTACTGGTTATGACACCACCACCCTGTATTGGTATTAGCAGCATATAGGCGCTAGTGTTCCACTGCGCCAGAATAAAGCCTGGTGTCAGCTAGTGCTGATTGATGCCGTTTCCAGACCTGTTGTTTGATCATGCCCAGCTGACGAGAAGCTGGATATAAAGAAATAGCGTGAGAGTTAGTAGAATACTTCAGTTATTAATGTTATGTGGATTTATATTAATGCCCAGTAAACTGGAATATGTTTACCGGAACGGATTAATTCATAGAGCAATTGATTATTAACGGCCAGGCTACGTTTTCCAGTGATGCTGAAGGTTACTCCCTCTTTTACATTAATATGAGGTTCTTGTCCATGTCTCTTAACAGTGAAATGGGGGCATTGACCGGGATCTCATCATAACATATATTTATGTGGGAGGTCTTTGACTGGCATACCATAACATATAAATGTGATGGCTCTGTCCATGATTCACAACAACAAGACAACCTTATTAGAGACTGAAGTACACCTACGCAATGGTAGGAAAACCAGAAGGACCACCAGGACACTTCATACTGCCGCCGAGACAAAGCATACAGGTGGGTGACCAACAATGAAGCCACCTGTGCTCCATACAAGTGATGATGGACTCGAGTCAGAAAATCCAGACATGAAAACTCGAGGAGAAGAATGAACTAGCCTCATACCGGGCTGTACCGATCTGCTGAAAGAGGCAGAGCCGCAGAAAGACCCTTGGGTTCGGACACTGAGCAAGCAGCATTTTAAACCAAGGCTGGGCCGACCACCAAGGCGCCCGAAGGACAACTCACCCCTGGTAAGTCTCCAAGTGAGCCAGGATCTGGAGCAACAGCTGAACCAGGAGAAATAGGTATGGGTAAGCACACCTCACCCAGTCCTGCCTCAAGGCGTCGACCCCGACAGCCTCGCAGTCATGAAAGAGCGGCACGTAAACCAGGAGATGTCTCGACCACACCGACACGAAGAGATCCACTTCCGGAGGCCCGAATGTCTGGCAGAGCCAATTGATTGAGTTGGCGTCAACCGTCCATTCCATGGACAGGGGAATGAACTGGGACACGCTGTCCACCAGGACATTAGATACCCCCGAACGTAAACGGCCAGGAGAGCCAAACCCCGAGAACTCAGCAGACGAGTCACCCGAAGCGACCAGCCCTGCTGGGAAAGCTGGGCACAACTGTCCGAAGTACTGCCTCAACACAGAGATTCCTTCCTTCCTTCCCTCTAATGTTTCTTTACATAGCAATGTGGGCTCACAAGCTAGCACAAACAGCGTGACTGACTTAATAATCACATGGCACACTTAGATATCAATTATACTTTAGGGTTAATGTAAACAAACTCAAGCTAAGTCATTAACATATGTTGAACAAATTTGAAAATAAACAAGAAAACATAATTCTGAAAGAAAACTAACCTAAAATTCTCTGGCGGACACTGTCGCGTGCTGCACTCTGGCATCTCATCAGAGTGGTCGGAACAATCCTGCTCTCCATCACACACCCACACCTGCAGAATCCACCTTTATTATAACAAAATATTGCTTTAAAATATAAATCAAAATAAAAGTAACATTATGGGTTGGTGAAATAGTCATTACAAATGCTGTAAGAAGGAAATAGCTTCAACTAACAATGTACAAAGGAAAGTTTAAATAAAACACAAAGAAGTGTGTTCGATGACGTATTTTACGACTGCAGGATTAAAGACGCAGCCTGTGAGAGGGCCTGTAGGATACTATAAGCAACAGCCATTCTGATCAATTGATCGCAAGAAATGCTTAGACAAGGCTGTGCAAACAATTTTACCAAACAGCACCCATTTATTGTGTGCGCAAACAGCACGCACACAATAAATGGCTCTGAAAAAATTATTTGTTCTTTTGACATTGTTAATTAACATCTAGGAAGGACAACAACCCAAATTAAAAATCTCTATCTCTTGTCATTTAGTTGTAGTGGGCCGGAAAAGTTGCATTTTTTCAGTAGAAATGAGAGGTGACCCACAGGAATAACTTTGTCTAATTATTTTAATTGTCTCTTGCTTTATTTACACATGTATGTACATACATACATACATACATACATACATACATACATACATACATACATACATACGGCCCTAATGGGCCGGTGGCTGGATGGACAGCATGCTTGATATGTAGTCATATGGACCGGGGTTCGATTCCTGGGGCCGGCAGAAACAAATGGGCAGTTTCTCTCACCCTGATGCCACTGTTACCTAGCAGTAAAGAGGTACCTGGGAGTTAGATAGCTGTTACGGGCTGCTTCCTGGGGGTGTGTGTGTGTGTGTATGTGGAAAAAAAAAATATTAGTAACAGTTGATTGAGAGTTCAGAAGTGGGCCAAAAGAGTAGAGCTCAACTCTTGCAAGCACAACTAGGTGAATACAGTACATACATTACATACATACACATACATACACATACATACATACATACATACATACATACATACATACATACATACATACCATACAGTATATTATGCAGTGATTGACATCGTCATCTCACAACCAAGGTACGGTATTCACATTCAATTCCCACTGTACAACAGTCTGCTGGGCATGTTTCAATTCTGATGCCTCTGTTCACCTAGCAGAAAATAGGCCCTCGGGAGTTAGGCAACTGTTGACTGTTACATCCAGGGAAAGGTCAGTAGTTGGTCTAGTGGAAAGTTGATAAGCCGAAATACAGGCTTACTATCACCGACAACGAGGAAATGCATTATAGGCTGAGAGGGTTGGGCCATGTTTTGAAAACAACAAGAGAGATGTTTATAGATAAAATCAAAAGTACTAACCTTGGGTATACACTGTGTGTTATTACATGAAAACCAATCTGCTGAACAAGATGGGGCTGGACAATCTTTTTCATCAAATTCTCCTTTACAGTCAGGCGTCCCATCACAACGGCGACTCACTGCGATGCAATGTGCACTCGAGCCATTGAATGCAGGACATTTAAATTGAGACAAAACGCACGAATACTGAAAAACAAAAAAACATCATCGACCATTATTAGTAAATAGGGTAGAATACTACTGTATGTTTAACTTAAAGAAATGTATTTTTTGCTGCAATACCCTTGGATGCTCTTATAACCGGCTCTCATATAATTCATCTGCCAGAGTCTCAAGATTTTTATCTCCATCGTAACAGAGATGTTTGTAAATGGTCCGGTCAAGTATCTAGACGAACTGAATGGTGATAAAGTGATACTTGAATTTGGTTTTTCTAGCTTTATTCAACTTGGTTCCCTATATGATATCTGAAATAACACAAATCAAAGTTATCAGAAGGGAATTATAAATCATCATAATAATGAACCCTACAACAAGAACCAATGAGTATAAGTTAATGAATAAAATATTTAGATATATCACATCATGACAGGGATTTCTGTAAGTGGTCTTGTCAAGTGCCTAGAGGAGTGAAACAGCAATGAATCCAACACAGCCCAAGACCACATGTGCTGTACCAGCTTCCTGTAACAAAATGAATCGCGACCCTCAAAAAACCAGCGCTGAATGTAATGAAATGCCATTTTCTGGGCAAATCCCAGAGGCTCCCCGGAGCTATCCAGGCTGAATGGATATGTATATCTTTCTGGCATCAGTCAATGCATGGAGTTCTTGCCTACCTGGGACCACGAGCCAGAACTTGTGCCTCTCTAGAGGGGGGGGCCGAGGAGCAATGGCCTATAGAGACCCCCCCCCCCCACCTGTGGTTGGGAGTATTCTATGTCTACCATCAACTGGGACAGGCACCCAGAAAGGTAGGCGCCCCAAAACAAAGTCGATCCCTATTCTGGTAAAACTATTGCGACCGAAGGCCGAACAAGTGGACAGAACTCCCCAAACGAAAATTAGCAAACTAGCATGACATGTCGCTGCGCCACTGTTTGCACAACTCCCCCTTCCCCGGGAGGTGGAAGGGGGAGCCCCAGACACACCCGCCGGCCACCCAACCTTCAGTTCTTAGGCTGGATGTCAAAAAGAGAGAAAAACACCGTCGAATGGGGAGGGAAGGAGGGAGGGATGCCGGGGAGCCTTCAAAACTCACCCAGAAAATGGCGTTTCATTACATTCAACGCTGGATTTCTGGGGGAAGCCCTGTCGGCTCCCCGGAACTACCTCACCACAGATCAAGAAAAGAGGGAAGGATCCAGGAGGCAGACGCCACTCGCCCTAACATAAAAACAAGACCACAGACTAAAAGAAAAGACCTTGCTAATGACCCGGGAGACCCAAACCCCAGAACAGGAAGGAGGGAAGTAAGGGAATCCGGGCAAACCAAATCACGTCCACAGCCCCAGAGACCAAGACACGCAGAGAACAGCAAAGAGCCACAACCGAACAACAAAAGAAAGCACCCCCGCCTGACCAACAAAGCAGCAACCCAAGGACCCCTCAGGAAGCAGCAGACCCAAACATCACCCAAGAAGAAGGAGACTGCATCAAAAGAACAACCTACCACGAGGACCAATGAGGCAGAAAAACACGGGCACCAGAGGAGAGCAGGAAACTCCCCGACACAACCCCTAGAGATCAACACCAACAGAATTAGACCTGAAAAACAAAAATACACCAGAAATGAAGTGATCACGACAAACCAAGGAGAAAAAGAAAATAGACCACCCCGGGCCAATGACCAGGACAGCACCAGAAGCGCAAGATCAGGCCTGAGGTGAAATTAAGCCCAAGACACTAAGCGAAATGGAGCAGAAGAAACAGCAATGGCGAACGCAAGCTGGAGCGGCTCCGCCAGCGCCACCCAATATGAGGCAATAGTACAATGCACCAGAAGATGGTCCCGGAGCAACCGCGAAGGGAAAGACAAGACATCAGAGAACCCTTTGCAGTGATAGGAAAACCAGAAGGACCGCCAGGAAACCACACACTGCCGTCGTGATGAAGCACACAGGCAGGAGACCAACGAAGCCACCAGTGCCCCCACAAGTGACAAGAACATGAGACAAAACCCCCCAGACGCGAAGACTCTAGGGGAAGAACGAACCAGCCCCATATAGGGCTGAACTGATCCACAAAAAGACGCGGAGCCACGGGCAGCCCCTCAGGATCCGAACCGAGGAAAGCAGAGCCCCCAACCAAGGCTGGCAAAAACGAGAAGGAACGGCCACTAGGGAACCAGGAACCCAATCCCGGCGAGCCGAAAAGGAACCAACCGGGACGAGCATAACGTCTCGTCCGGAAGGAACACACCTTCCCCCTCAGGACCCCGGAAGGACCAACAAGGCCAAACACCAAAGATCCAGGGCCCAGGCAAAGGTCAACAAGGAAACCGAGCCCCACGAACTAAAACACGAGACGCGAAGCGAAAAGCAGTGACCCCGCAACCATAAGGAGCAGCACAACCAGCTCCAGCAGATTAAGAACGAGGCACGTGTCACAGAGGTATACAGGAGGACAACTACTCAGGATGTGTACCGCAAGAAAAAAAAAAGAAACAAAAAAGCGTACCGGAAAAAGAAAGAAAAGCCGGAGCCAGGACCGGAATCCAAGCTGCCCCTGTCCCAAGAAAAAAGGAACCAGGAGAGCAGGAGCAGTTGACCAGAAGTCCACAACCTCCCACAGACCTTGCAACAAGGGAGAACAAGGAAAAAGTGAACTCAGTACCAAAACTGAACACTAGGGCAGTCTAAAATTGGGGAACTGAACATGGACAGACGCCCATCACAGTACCTAACAGAATAGCCAATAAGCACCGACCAAGATACACAGCCTTGTGTAGCTTAGAAGGGAAGAAAAACAGAAATAGGCAAGGAAAAGACCGGAATAATGACCAGGTAGCAGCCGGTAACGCAAAGTACACGACTACCCACAACGTGTGGTGTGGGAGGTCGCACATACACAGAGGGACACCATGGCTATCAGGGTGCACCCAGGCACTGAAAATAGGCAAGGAAGGAGTGTCCAGAGACCAGAGACCCCAAGTCAAGGAAGAAAGACACAAACACGGACCGGGGGAACGATGGAGTGTCCAAAGATCGAGAAAAGACCCAGGCGTCGAAAAAGGGGGCGACTCCATACACAGTCTCAAATGTAGAGAAGATAGAACCCAGTAGGCTCAGGAAGATGTACACCTGATGATTGACAGTTGAGAGGCGGGACCAAAGAGCTTGCACTCCCTGCAAGCACAACTAGGCGAGTACCCCACTAAACAGTGAAAACTAGCACCCAGCCGACAGAGTCGCCAGACAGTACAATCTCACCTGCAAAACAGAGACACCACCGTGTCATGCAACCCGTTCTCGCAAATTTAATAAGTCAATATTGACTTATTAACTACGTGCATAGGTGATATTCTAAACATAATAGATACCCTTAAAAAGATTCATAGAAAACACTGACCTTACCTAACCTTGTTAGTATCTTAAGATAAGCATCTTCTTGCTTCGTAATTACAATTATTACTTAACCTATACCTATTATAGGTTAGGTAATAATTGTAATTACGAAGCAATAAGATGCTTATCTTAAGATACTAACAAGGTTAGGTAAGGTCGGTGTTTTCTATGAATCTTTTTAAGGGTATCTATTATGTTAAGTATGTCACCTATGCACATATTAATAAGTCAATATTGACTTATTAAATTTGCGAGAACGGGTTGTGTCACGACACAGCTGAGCTGTAATTACCTAAGTGTAGTTACAGGATGAGAGCTACACTCGTGGTGTCCCGTCTTCCCAGCACTCTGTCATATAACGCTTTGAAACTACGGACGGTTTTGGTCTCCACCACCTTCTCACCTAATTTGTTCCAACCGTCTACCACTCTGTTCAATTCAATTTCTTTCTTTATTATGCACCCCATACCCATCCCATGGGCGGTGGTGTAAAGGATTACAGAGGCACATAATCGGTTCAGGAACTGAACCCTCTAGTTCGTTTAGCTAAGCAAATAATTTTTTGACGCTATATATATATATATATATATATTATTAAATATGACCGAAAAAGTAAGATTAATAATTCTAACACGAATTTTCTCAATCTTTCGTACATTACGCTTCACTGTTGGAGGTAAATCAAAAATCACTTCTCCAAAATTCATTTTTATTTCTAGTCTGACGCGACACGGGCGCGTTTCGTAAAACTTATTACATTTTCAAAGACTTCACAAATACACAACTGATTAGAACGTATCTCTGATTTTATATCTACATTTGAGTGAGGTGGGAAGGGTGATGTGGCATTAACACAAGACAGAACAGGAGGGGATATTAATAGGGTATTAAAAGTATCAACACAAGACAGAACAGAAACAATGGGTATTGAATAGAAGTGTTTGTAGAAAGCCTATTGGTCCATATTTCTTGATGCTTCTATATTGGAGCGGAGTCTTGAGGTGGGTAGAATATAGTTGTGCAATAATTGGCTGCTGATTGCTGGTGTTGACTTCTTGATGTGTAGTGCCTCGCAAACGTCAAGCCGCCGGCTATCGCTGTATCTATCGATGATTTCTGTGTTGTTTACTAGGATTTCTCTGGCGATGGTTTGGTTATGGGAAGAGATTATATGTTCCTTAATGGAGCCCTGTTGCTTATGCATCGTTAAACGCCTAGAAAGAGATGTTGTTGTCTTGCCTATATACTGGGTTTTTTGGAGCTTACAGTCCCCAAGTGGGCATTTGAAGGCATAGACGACATTAGTCTCTTTTAAAGCGTTCTGTTTTGTGTCTGGAGAGTTTCTCATGAGTAGGCTGGCCGTTTTTCTGGTTTTATAGTAAATCGTCAGTTGTATCCTCTGATTTTTGTCTGTAGGGATAACGTTTCTATTAACAATATCTTTCAGGACCCTTTCCTCCGTTTTATGAGCTGTGGAAAAGAAGTTCCTGTAAAATAGTCTAATAGGGGGTATAGGTGTTGTGTTAGTTGTCTCTTCAGAGGTTGCATGGCTTTTCACTTTCCTTCTTATGATGTCTTCGATGAAACCATTGGAGAAGCCGTTATTGACTAGGACCTGCC